TAAATTTAAAAAAATGAAAAAAATGAAAAAAATGAAAAATGAAAAATGTAAAAAATGAAAAAATGAAAAAATGAAAAAATGAAATAAAATATGAAAACGAGAGATAAAAGGAAAACTGAGGGAGGGCAGACATGTTTACAAAACGGAACGTCATATAAGATGGTTACGACACCCTTAAACGCCCTCCTCTCACTCTATATGTTCACCATAATTATAAAGCACTTTGAAAAAGAATTTTATACATTATTATGGCCTCGTTCCCTAGCATTTATTTACCGTGTATGACCGGTGCCCCAACCCCTAAGTGGTTGATGTACGCTACGCTATTGTCTGAATTATCAATATAACAAAGAGTGAAGTATAATGTACACTATATGCCGCCGGCAATTTTAAGAGAAATTTGAATTCACCGGAAGGGGAAGAAGAAAAAAACTCGTGAGTTTCTCATTCTTATAATTTCTATATGAAAGATATCACAGTCAAGAAGTCAGATGGAACGAATCATAGCCTTACGTTGTGTATCCGGCAGACGGTTGATTTAAAACAGCAATTTGAAGGAGCTTACAAGCAATTAATAAATCTTAATAGACTTACGTTGGACTAAATTGTGACCATTCTTCATAATGTTTAGTGTTATTTCATGAATATTTTCCGTTTATTTCAAAGACAATGGAGAAGTCTTTATGTTTGATAAAGCCCCTCTAAAGTGTTGGAAGCCCCGAGAATTTGATGGCAAAATTTCGCTTAAATATTGTATCATAATGTGAAAGCGGATGTCATTTCAGACACATTTATGAAAGGATTTTTGTTTGATGTGTTTGAAGTCGAATATTGATGAAAGAATACAAAATTTAGGTTTTCTGCGTACAACAGAAAACCAATGATGTATTTTTTAAATCAAATATTTGTCTTCAAACGTATTTTTAGGGGAAAATCTTTGCAGAAGTGTACATCCTCTTTCACATTATGATACAATTTAAGTGAAATTTTGCCATCAACATTTTGGCGAATTTGGGGCTCCCAACATTTTAGAGGGGCTTAAAATGTCCGGACACCCAACCGCCTATCATTCTATTGATACAACCCTATGTTATACATAGTGTATTCAATTAATTTTAACCCCCATTCTTTTCTGATGTAGCTCGTTTGCTCCGACCTGCTGACGGCCCAAGAGAGTGACTCTTCCAGCTCAGATTCAAGTCCGTCGGCCTCGGACCGGAACACGGAAAGTCCTTCAATAATATCACCATCGTGTCCATCTTGCTCATCATCCTCTTTGTTTTCGCGTTCGTCTGAGTCGTCTTCTCCATCTGAATCGGATTCTTCACCATCGATCAATTCGGATTCTTCACCATCGTCCAATTCGGATTCGTCACCATCGTCCAATTCGGATTCTTCACCATCGTCCAATTCGGATTCGTCACCATCGTCCAATTCGGATTCTTCACCATCGTCTAATTCGGATTCTTCACCATCGTCCAATTCGGATTCTTCACCATCGTCCAATTTGGATTCTTCACCATCGTCCAATTTGGATTCTTCACCAACGTCCAATTCGAATTTTTCACCAACGTCCAATTCGGATTCTTCACCATCGTCCAATTCGGATTCTTCACCATCGTCCAATTCGGATTCTTCACCATCGTCCAATTCGGATTCGTCACCATCGTCCAATTCGGATTCTTCACCATCGTCCAATTCGGATTCTTCACCATCGTCCAATTCGGATTCGTCACCATCGTCCAATATGGATTTGTCACCATCGTCCAATTCGGATTCTTCACCGTCGTCCAATTCGGATTCTTCACCATCGTCCAATTCGGATTCGTCACCATCGTCCAATTCGGATTCTTCACCATCGTCTACTTCGGATTCATATTGGTCTTCAGACTCGGACTTTCAAAGTACTTTATTTGACTGTAAGTATAATAACAGCATATTCCTTAATTTACCAATGGTAGCCTAATCAGTATCAATTTGATCTTCTTGCACCCCCTGCAAATATTATTACCCCCATCATCGCCCGGTACACATTTGATTTTTGAGTAAAACACTTTGTCCAATGACCTACTAAGCACATAGCAAGAATCCGACCCAGGACCTCTTGATGAGAGCCAATATTAAGAGCCAATTAAAAGCCTTCATGTATCATATACATACAAAAGCGCTCCCTTCCAGTTGAAGCCACGCCCCAATATCTTATTATATCGCTTTTGCCAAGTCAAACGTGCATACAGCATTCATTGAAACCAGAGCTCGACTAATGAAAATTAAACTATGAAAAGATTTGTGAACACATTTGGCGATTGTGGGGGGGGGGGGAAGTGAAAAGGGAGGGGGTTTGAGAGAGCGAGGCGGGCATCTGGAACGAAACGATGTCTTTCGTCACCCAATCAAGATGATCCTTCCATTTTGTAAACGCCACTCAATATGACATTGGTCTTATTTCTCCATTTTATTGAACAAATACGGGACCAAATAAGACCCATCCCCAGTGCCACCAGCGACCCCAGCTCTTAGTGACTGGACCCCCTCTCAGCCACTCATTATACGAGTTATGTTTCTGTTATGTCAAAATTAGTACATTGATATCTGTATTTTGTGTTCTATACACAGATGCGTGCTCATGGGCGTCTTACATTGTAGCCGTAGAACCCGAAGCTATGTAAGTGTCGTTTAGATTTCATAATTGATTTTTAAAGATAAATTTTAATCTCTATTTTTTATTTGTAAATCCCTATTTTTTTCCTAGAGAGGGCACGGGACCTCACAACGCCCATTTTTGGTCAGTAAATCTAGAGTTGTTGGCCATTTTTTAATTTATTAAAAAAATATATGTCGACAAATAATTGAACTACACCATCAGCTGTTGTACTTTAAAAAAAATATCCATGACACTCACGACATATTATACTTGAATACCTTGTAGAGAAGTAAATAACTGGCCTGAAATAATTAGTACCTGAATTGAAATTCATCCAAATACCATAGGTCAATTAGTATTTCATTTCATTATGTTTATTGGTAATCCCACAGTTGCTTGGGCAAAAATTTACTCCGGGCTTTGTTTTCAATGTAGGGTTAGGGTTAGGATTGCAATTGAGTTTATGTTAGTAAGGGTTAGGGTTAGGTTTACTGTTTGGTCCAATTGGTTGACGAGGTGCAATCGTCGCAAGAGCAAGGTTCGTACAACCGATTTTTTTTTCTCTCTCTCTTTCTCTTTCTTTATCTCTCTCTCTCTCTCTCTCTCTCTCAGTGGCGGAGCAGGAGGAAAAAACAGTCTAATTGGACCGCCTGACGCATATCCCTGTTACACCGCCGCCCCTACCACAGTTCCCTCATTCTCCTACATCATCGTAAGTATTTACCACCCCCCCCCCCGCACTTCTTCCAGACCAACACTTTCTGAAAAGCACATTTTCACTGCTGCGATCAGATCCAAATATCCTAATTTGTCTTACATAATCAGAAATAGGCCTATCCCCTCCCCCCCCCCCCCCAACAAGGGTGTCGAAATTGCCTTACTAGGATGATTTCTCGAAAGTCTTTGCGATCCTGTTGATGATATCAGAAGGGCTAATCTGGGTTCCCCCCCCCCCCTTATAAACATTGCAATTAATCGCAACTATGTACATAAGAGATAGGGGTCTGCAAACTTTCTCCTTCTCTCTCTATCTCTCTCTCTCTCTCTTCGATGATACAGTTTGACATTCCGGAGCCTCTGTTCATACGACGCATCGTGATCTACATGTTACGAGGTATTGGGGCCTTAGAGTATATCATGGTATTCGACCACGACGCAGATGAGTTCGTAATCATGTGGGAGGTCGACGACCCACTCGTCACCGGATGTAGTGCCGGTATCTTCTCCGCAGAGATGGATGTAAGTAGAATATTATCCAGAGATACGCATTTTCCTTTGTTTTGACATTTTTTTATTCGTCGTCACTGTCTCCTCCTTCTTATTCTTCCTCTTCGTCGTATTCTTCTTCGCCGTCGTCTTCTCGTTTTTAGTCTTCTTCTCCGTCGTATTTCTCTTTTGTATCGTCTTCTTTTTTGTCGTAACATCTTTTCCTTCTTTTTTTCTTTAAAAAAAAACATTGTTGTTAGTCTCCTCCTCGTTCTTATCTTTCCTCTTTAATAGATTTTGTTTTCTTTTACTTTTTATCCTTTGTCCCGTTGATTTTCGATTCTTATCTGCAAAATGTAGGCCTACTTGTGATTTTTTTTATTTAGCTAAAAGCAATGCCATGAAATCATTAGATGTTGGACCATGATTATTTATTTATATCATATCATATCGTGTAAATCTACCTATTTAATACTATGACATTAACAAAATTGTTCGTCCTACTGTATTATTTCTTAATTATTATTGTACTCTTGGCTAATGTACAACATAAATATAAGTATCGTAATTATTCAACATTGAATCTACATTAGTGGAACCACTGTGGTATAGTGGTATAGGCTCTTGACTCTCGTACAGAAGGTCACTGGTTCAATCCTTGCTAAGGTGCTTACATCCTTGAACAGATTATGTCCCTCTCGACGCAGGTGTATAACATGGATTCGTGGTAATCCAATTTTATCCATTTTTATTCATTTATTCATTTATATCCATTTCTTTTTAGTTCCATGAATTCCCGACTGATTCGATTGCCCTAACATTCGACGGTGATTGGAGCGATGAGGGAATAGAGGTAGACGCGATACAGGTGTATGGAACACGATGTAAGCTCCAGATTAAGATGTGTGCGTGTGTGTGCGTGTGCGTGCGTGTGTGCATGATGGTTTGTTTACGGGACCAGATCAAGGACACTCATGAGCAATGTAAATTTACAAGGACCAAACGCAGACTGAGGACGGCATCGGTTCCCTCTAAACCCTCGAAACGGTTTAAGATTTCATGCCCTTTCAGGAGTTTGTGTGCGTGTGTGTGCGTGTGTGTGTGTGTGTGTGTGCGTGTGTATATGTGTGATAGAGATAGAGAGAGAGAGAGAGGGGAAAGCCATGTGGATACGTGTTTGCGGGTGAGTGTGAGTGTGTGTGTGTGTAATTGGACGCTTATAGACGGATATCAACCAATCAAATCTGATATATTTACGTCTGGGACTTACTTTTAACGTCACTTTCCGAAAGACATGTCTCGGTTTCAAAGTGGGGTCAATCAGAGTCATTTTATATTTTAAGAAGAGGAGAGAGAAAGCTTACCACTGACGGTACCGCCAGGCCAACTCAAATCTTCAACTCTAGAGGACATCAGCTTCTTTCGTTCATATCTACCAATGATAGCCATATAGCGATTCCCTCAATTTTATGATGCTATAAAATCATTCATTAATTATTTTTTTTTTAAATTGATAGCAAATCTAAGCCTAGTATGTAACTAGGCCTTCAATCTTGAAATAATGTCATGCACTTTGAAACTAAAGTTTGCCACTTTATTTGTTGTTATTCTGCAGCAATGCCCTCCAACGTCCGCATCGTAGAGGGCGCTTCACTGACCAAGGGGCGAATCGAGATCTTTGACCCTGTTGATACAGGGGTGTGGGGCACCGTCTGCAGAAGCAGCGAAATTAACACCAGGACGGGCGAGTTACTTGCGGATCAACTCGGCCAGTATGGCTTTGATCGGTTCGGTAGCGACGGGGAGTTTCCAGAGAGCTTGTATGTGGCGACAGTGAAGAATCCGCATTGTAACTCAAAAAGTCTCAATATCCTGAACTGCTTCGAGCAAGGAGGAACCTGTGACGTAACACATGTTGGTATCAAATTCACAGAAAGTAAGGCTTCCCGAAGACATTCTTTCTTTTTTTTATTTTTCTTGTGATCTGACACTTGCTCCGGATTTTATTTAGTTCTTAAAATACAAAGTAAAGGATTGGGTGGCAATTGGGTTTTGGGGTTAGGTTTAGGATAAGTGTTAGCTAGAGAGTACCAAAGCTGTGGCATCATAAAAATCTATTTTTAGGATTTTCCCCAATTTGAACGAAAGAGCATACAAAATAATGTCAAAATGTCGAGAACCAATTGAACATGTTAAGTATTGGCTGAGAAATGACCATCTGAATAAATAGATTTCCTATAGGAGCTCAGTGTTATTTTGGTTCGTAATGTTATGTGTTTGGTTTAGGCTGTAGTTAGGGATTATTGCAGAAAATGATCTTGAAGTAAATGTCGAAGAAACGTGTATCATAAAACCGCTTTTCTGAATCATGATTGCACTATGGTTAATGTTGGTTTTTTTCACTACAACTTTTCTTCTTCAGATCTTTAAGTATACCTTCTGTACGATTTATTATTCCTGTTGACGTCTGAAATATTGTGGCAAAGAAACAATCAGCGCACATTGCCTAGTCGTTCGTATATGATTTTAAATAATGTCTCTGATCATTCTGGTAAAATAGGAAATTGATCAATCAGTGCATGTTGAGAATCGTTCCTTCGCTGATCCCAGCTAAATCTATTGTTTCTTATATCTTTCTTTCTTTCTTACAAATGTCTTTTTTACGTTTCAGGTTCTTTGGGCCTTTGCGAAGGGACAGTTCTAGAAGACAGTGAGAGCCAATGTTCCTGTCACAAGACAATAACCAAAGCATACAGCAACAGCTGTCTTGGCTACGGAACAGTTTGTTCACCGTCCTTCATTTCGCACACCGGGGATATTGATGTTTATCTGTATACACCTCCGAATGATGACCCCGTTGAGACCAATGGAGAAACGACAACAGGAGACGTCAGGTCCCCTGTGTCTCCTACATCCCAACGAGAAATAACAGCTGAAGAAACTGCATTTGCGGAAAGCATCGTCGGAGAAACAACTTTAGGGGAGGTGACTTCTAAAGTAACGACGCTTTCTGAGACCACGATTGGCGAAACAACCTCACCTGAGACAACGCTCGGAAAAACAACAGCTGAAGAAACAACGTTTGCGGAAAGCACTGTCAAAGAAACTAATATAGGGGAGGTAACCACTGAAGTAACAACGTTTTCTGAGACCACGATTGGAGAAACAACCTCACCTGAGACAACGCCCGGAAATTCAACAGCTGAAGAAACAACGTTTGCGGAGAGCACCGTCGAAGAAACGACTATAGGGGAGGTAACCACTGAAGTAACAACGTTTTCTGAGACCACGATTGGCGAAACAACCTCACCTGAGACAACGCCCGGAAAAACAACAGCTGAAGAAACAACGTTTGCGGAAAGCACTGTCAAAGAAACGACTATAAGGGAGGTAGCCACTGAAGCAACAACCTTACCTGAAACCATGCACGGAGAAACGACGTTAGCTGAAGTTACTGTCAGAGACACAACGGTGGGTGAAGTTATAGCTGCAGAAACGACTTTGGCTGAAGTAACTGTAAGAGAAACAACGGTAGGCGAAGTCAACGCTGCAGAAACTATGACAGGGGAAGTTATAGCTTCAGGAACGACGTTAGGGGAAGCTACCGCTACAGAACCGACAGCGGTCAACAATGTCGCGGCTTGGAACACAGAAATCGCTCCCTTCACTGAGGGAATAGTTTTGCCAGGAACGGATGTCACCGTGTTATTTAGTGAAGCACTGACACCTGAATTTCCAAGTGTCGGGTATGGATCGTCGGTCACATTGTTGCCGCTCGCCACTGACTACGGATTCAATGGGAACCTGCAGTTGGCGACTACAAAGCACTGTGGTAGTTTGGATTGTCCAAAGAACCTTCAGTACAGTGGTAGGTCGGCCATGTTTTCCTTTATGTCCTTTTTGTTAAGAAGAACATCATTAGGACAAAATATTTGGGTGGATTAAGTTATGCTGTCTTTCCGATCTGACGGTCAGTAGAGATATGGTGAACATGTAGAGCCCCAAGCACCCCCACAGCTCCATCCCCTCCACAATATAGTCGCAAGAACTGCTCTTGACCTATTTTTTTTTTTTAGATTCATAAAATTATAGCATTTCCTACTCTCTTAATGGACAGTACAAAATGTTTGTCATATAGTAGCGAGTGCAGTTAATATTTCAAGAATAGATTATCGTGATTCAATCAAAATAATATCACGTTGTTGCTCTCTCTATTTCAATATTGTAGACCGTGCCGAACCCGTGGACCTCAGGAGCGCGTCCATATCGGCTTCCACTTCGAAAGCGATTTACAACCCCGAAAAGGCCTTCTTACAACAGCTCATCGCTGATCCTCTGGACCTCGACTACCTGCTCGACAACATCTTGGGTGACTACGAAGACTTTAACGGATGGCGTGCGAAAGATGACGATGTCAACCAGCCTTACATCCGTGTGGACTTCGACAGGACCGTGACCGTCCAGGGCGTTATCATTCTAGGAGGGCAGGAATCTTCAGCGCGTGTGACGTCTTTGAAGATCGCGTATACCGACACGCGGGAAACGGCATGGAAGTACTACCACGAGGACAGCTCTACCGAGTCTGTGGTACGTCTAGAATTAGGTGTCCTAATGAAGACTTTTTTTTTTAATCGTGACCCACCTCGGCACAATTCGTCTAATAAACCGCTGATTATATGGATAATTAGAAAACCGTCTCTAGATTTAGTACCTTCCAATTACACTGACAGCGATTCGGAAACTACCCAAATAGACTGTAATTTATCAAAACCGTTAGGAAAACGAAAAGTGAAATTTCGATTATTAATCATGAATATCTTGATAACCAGACAGGCAATCGGCTTGTAAAAGTCATATGATTCCTGACTGAAAGGTTTTTCAATTATGATTGCAGCATGAGCTAAATCCAGGATTTTGTTTCAGAATCTGAGGCAATGTTACCGAGTCACTTTAATAATGATGATAAAAATAAATTAATAATGATATTAGTAGTGGTAGTAGTAGTAGTAGTAGTAGTAGTAGTAATACGTTCTTTTATATAGCGCTCAAGTAGCCAAATTTGACATTGCTCCACAATTAGTAAATAGTGTCGTATATTAGGTTATGCGCTTCAATAAAATATTAGCACCCTAAAATCCAGATGTCCAATTTCAAAAACACTCTTTTGTTTTTACTTTTTAATTTTTCCTCAGGTTTTTGGACTGGACTATACGCCTGGTTATGCTATGCTAATGTTTAATCAATGGCATGAAGCAAGAGGCCTAATACTTCTGCCACAGACATGGAAGGGAGAAATATGGATGCGAATCTTCGTTCTAGGAGCAACTTACGAAGGTACATTTTTTTCATTTTCTAATCTGTTTTTCTGTTAGTGGCATATCCATGAAATTATGGATGACTGAAATATCCTATTTTTGTAAAATATATATCAGAAACTTTATCACTCTATGTCAAGTAATAATGGATCTTACTTTTGTCACTATGACATTTATGCAATATTTGTCCGCTCGGCACAATATTTGTCTGCTAATTTATTGTGCTATATGCTACATCCCTCCCCTAGGCTACTATTCTCCTCTCTTGTGTCTCTGTCCATATACATTTACAGGCATATTTTGCGAGAGGGTTAATGCCACTTGCGTGAATCTGAACTTTTCAATGTGTATCTTATTTCGTAAGTGAGCATAAAATCTCTGACAATTTTTTGTAGAGAAAATGTTATTCCGTCACCTAAATAAAGACTCTATTCTATCACTTCGCTGTCTAAATTTAAGGATATCCCTATCAGGCGCGGATCCAGGATTTCTTAGGGGGGAGGCCAAAATTTGAAATCAATTTGAAATTTAGTGTGCTGAAAGTTGAAAATCGTGCCGGCCGCTATTTCGCTCAAAAGCCCCCCCCCCCCCCCCTTAAGCAAAAAAAGAGACGAAAATTTCTAGTCACAATTTTTTTCTTCTCCCTTTGATCCACGTTGGCCGAATTCGAAGGACTTGAGGATCTTCAAGCACCTCGCTGCCTGAATATGGCAAACATTGATTTGATTTTGTTTTACACTAATGAGGGGACTACGTCCCCAACGCCTCGTATATATAATATAAATACACACACGCAAGCATATAAATCATTTCGCACTTTCTCTTCCACCCCCATTCTCAATTACCAATGCCATACTTTTACATTTGACTTTCTCTCTCTCTTTCTCTCTCTCTCTCTCTCTCTCTATCTCTCAGGTGGTGCAGTACCGTTGGGTATGCAAAGCGGTGAGATCGCGAGCGCCCAAATTTCGGCTAGCTCTTACCTCGATGAGGCCCATGCTCCCGGGGAGGGGCGTTTTAACGGTCCCTCTGCTTGGTGTGCCGCCCCTGCTGAAAGCAAACCCTGGATAAAAATTGACCTTTTGACCCATGCTCACATCGACAAGTTCGTCGTCCATGGGCTCGTCAACACGCCCGTTGATTACCCGGCGGCGTCGGGCTCGTACCCGACGGAGTTAAAGTTTAAAACGAGCGTGGTAGATGACTTCTATTCTTACGTGGACGTAGAGGTGAGCGATGAGAAAGAGCGTAAGCTAGTCCAGAGGTGTCGAGACTTACTTTTTTTTCGTGCAGTTATTTTCGGATGGTATTATTGCAGTATTACATTTACTATTGGCACTTCTTTAAAATGGAATGGAGTCCACTCTTTGATGATATATATTAGGGATTACCTTCGTTTTGGAGTCAAAATATACATTCAAAATGTGTGAAATCCACTATCAAGGAGTGATTCGAAACACTTCTTCAGAGAGGATTCCACTCAATTTGGAGAGGATTCAACTCCAAAACGATTAAAAAAGTAACAGTGATGAATATATATATATGTATGTCCGATATTAAGTGCACATGTTTGCATGATAAGATAAAGGCGAAAAAATAAAGAAGGTAAGTTTTATGCTTAAATCATTACGTCACAGATTTCCGACGTTTCTTAATGTCTTTAATATCAAGTGATTATGACAAAGATTAAGAATGGTAATGATCTATTTGATTATTATTTCTGTTCATATTTCAGCTACAGGGAAACAGTGCAAATAGTGCAGAAGATGTACAAGAATATATAACAACGTGGGATCCTGTCGCCCGGTATATCCGGATCAAGATATTATCATCAAATACCGCTTTCAATTGCCTCCGAGTCGAGATATACGGCTACATGAACTTCGGTGAGTTGAACACTAAAAGTGTTATTATCCACCAATCTGTTACTGTTTTGAAAAGATTATGATAAGTTTAGGCCTATTCCATTAAAATATGATGATATTGAATATTTACATAACGCACATAAATTATCATCCACGCAAGGTGCTCCATGTAAGCGCCCCAATAGTAAGCCTGCTCTGTTAGGCTACCGTTTTCGATGCTCACAGCATTCAAGGAATTCCTTTCCATTCTGATACCCATTTGACACCTAGTGACAAATGTAAAATAATGTCTAGTCGAAGGAAGCGGAAGAAGAAGACGAACAACAACAACAATGAGCAAGTTATCGGCAGGCTGTTTCGCTGCTAAATATTTTCTCACGAATTGGGCCCCCTCCCCTGTCGCCGGCTGGATCCGCCCCTGATGGCAATTACTAACACAAAACCCAAACTCTATGGCCCCTAATCTACTATGTCTACTTAAGTTTGGACTCTACTCTGGGTTTAGACTTTTGTCCGAAATCGGGTTTAACTAAGAAGTTAGTCTGATGAGGTAGAAGTTTTCCTTTTTTTAAAGTGATCTTAAACGGAAGGTTTGTCAGACCACCCGCCCTACATGTATCATAACATATTATGAACAATACAAAAAATCTGTATTCGTATCCTTGAATTACTTATAAGTTCAGACCAGTTTCTATCACTCTTGATAGCTGAATGGCACACACACTACTTATCATTACTATTATTTTGTTTGTTTTTAACAGAGAAATGGCCAGATTTTAACAGTACCCATTTAGACGATCATATTGAATATGCGACCGATGAAGATATTCACCTTGAATGCAGCTGTTTTACGAACCCTCCAATAGAGACCTATAAAGAAGGTGAGAAAATTAGATAGTAGTAACCTCCTCCTCTCCTTTTTTTCTCCTCCTTTTTTCCTCCTTTTTTTCTCCTTCTTCCCTTCTCCTTTTTCTCCTCCTCCTCCTTCTTCTTCTTCTTTTTGGGTTCATATATAAAATGCGAATGGAAATGAGAGAATAGTGGTTGCGTAGCTTAAATCAATGTTTGTTATTGCTTTTCTCCCTTTTTGGATTTTTGGGTAAATGTTTTCAGTGGCTTAGGCGCACAACACATTAGTTTGACCGAAAGATTGATACATCTTAAACCTTCATTTATTATTTGGGGCAGCTGAGTTTTTCAACACAATGACAAGCCGCATGCCTCAGCTGGATCCAGGCAAATAATTTGATATTCTAGTTTATGTTAAAATAATTATTTCTATATAATCCATATTTATATATCTTACTCTGTACAATTTTCTTCTTATTCCTATTTCTCTTGGTATTTCTTCTTTTTCTTTTTTTTTCTTTCAAATTATCGTATCATGTCTGTTTTACAGACTACTACTTCTTCCTAAGCGGGACTGAAATCTCTAACACGTTCTGTCCGGGACATACCAGGCAGTGGGACACTTCCGCCGTGACACCTTCATCAGCCTGGCCTGAAACGGGCAGTGGACTCTCGCCCGTCACTGAGAGCGCAACCACCGGGTTTATCTTCACCGACATTTTCAGCGTAGATATTACGTCGCCGGCTGCCCATGGTATGACGTCATCGTCTTCGTCATCATGGCTGTGTCCTGATGTTCCCCCAGACATGGTGTTCACATCCACCGTCATCTATCGTGAAGCCTTGACCATACGTGGAGGTATAATATTGACCTGTTCGGGTAGCGGGGTGGAGTAGCCGAGAAGGGGAAGCCCCTGTTCGGGTAGCGGGGACCCGGCCCCCCCACTCAGGTTTCAAAATGACCGCATGCGTGTTGCCAAAATGTCCTTTTCGTAACAAAAGAAAAAGGTCGAGCCGTATTGACTTTACACACCGGACTTTTGCTGAAAAGGGGGGGTGCGGAAAAAGGCTCGTATACAAAAGAAAAAGGTCGAGCCGTATTGACTTTACACACCGGACTTTTGCTGAAAAGGGGGGGTCGGTTGGAACACGCATATGCGTACCCTAAATAACACTGAGTGGGGGGGGCCGGGAGCGGGGATGGAGTAGCCGGAGAAGGGGAAGCCCCCTGCAAATATACTAAAAGGAATCATCACCTGAGAATCTTGGGTCACATGATTTTGCTGGAAAAAAATAATGTTGATGTGCAAGCAGCATGTTCAAGGCGGCTATAAGTTCTCGAAGGGTGGGAGAATTATTGTTAATAATAATAATAATCCGTTTTTTATATAGCGCTCAATACACCGATCCAACGATGTACCTAAGCGCTTTACAGATATATTGTTAAGCATTTCAATATAATCTTTCTTGGAGCCAGAAAGTTTATCATTATTAGTATTATCATTATTATTACTATTATGATGATGATTATTATTATTATTATTATTAGTAGTAGTAGTATCATTATTATTATCACTATTATTCTTACTATTATCATTATAATAATAATAACAATTATTATTATTATCATTATTATTATCAGTATCATTAATATTACAATCGTCATCAAGCTTCATCATCGTAACCTTAATTTCAACATTATCATTAAAACTTTAATGTTGTTATCCTAATCATTGGGCTTATTATTTTCATTATCAATTTATCATCATCATTATCATCATTCTCACTGACGGTGAACGATCACATCTGAACACAAATCACTATGTTACATTATTTAAGGTCATGTGAAGTTGAACTACTTTCTTCGCGGGGACGACCGGACGAGTTGGACGCTTATCATGAGGGTCTGGACGGAGATCACATCCGGTTCATGGGCCCACGAAGACGAGGTCATAGCCGAGGTTCATGGCTCACCCGGCGGTGGTTCGCCAGGGGAATGGAGAGAGTTCCACCATGAACGTCAATTTAGCGAGAAATATCAGGCGTGTCCAATTTGTCTTTCTTTTGAAAGTAGTAACTTTGATCAGAATATTATTGACAGATATCAATTTTGACAGATATCAATTTTGACTTCCTAATTTTCGGAACAAAATGAAAGTCAACATGAATACATTTCTTATTCAATATTCTTATAAAACTTTTGATTAACATATTCCATTATCTAATCTACGTTTGTTTGATAATTACTTTTATTATAGTTATCATTACTTTTTTAACTTTCGCATTGATTTTTGCATATTTAAAGTGTTATTGTCAGCATTGTCATTATTAAGGTAATTTCTGGCATTACTACCCTAACCGTTCATAATGGCCATGTATGTCATTATGATTCTATGATAATACATGATTATGTTTATTGCAACTCGTAATAACATAAGCAAGATATAATTATTATATAAAAAGTATGATCACTATCGTTATAACCATAATTATTATTATACAAATACCGTTTGTATTGCTAAATATATTACTCATTGCGGATATAGTATCGAAAATAATATCGCTAGTGACATTCGTTTGTCTCGCAATGTATGGTCAACAAGGGATCTGAAAGATCACAACGTTTCGTGCGCCGCTGCTACATTTCGTCAGGTGATAAAATATATTGCAAGCAAGCGTCTTCTGTACTCTACGGAAACGTCGTGATCTTTCAGATCCCTTGTTGACCATACATTGCGAGACAAACGAATGTCACTAGCGATATTATTTTCGATACCATTTGTATTAGTTGGAACAATGTTATTCTTATATTTTGATGTTATTATTATTATTATTTAATCCTAACAGCTAATTGCAGTGTTCACAATCGTCGCAGATGGTTACTCCATGGTGGCCATTGAGGCAGATAGTTTCCACTTGGTCTCAGGTATATACCTCGTTCCATGTATGTACCTCCATTACAAGTTATGAGCATGGGCAGACAGAATCATTCCCAGACAGGCAAGGGAGGTAAAGGCAGATAGTTTCCACTTAGTCTCAGGTATATACCTCCTTCCATGTATGTACCTCCATTACAATTTATAAGCAAGGGGCGGGAAGAATCATTCCTAGGCAGGCAAGGGCCAGAGGTAAACAGAATCCTTCCTTGAAGGGAGTATTGGGTGTATACAGTACGGACAACCCCACCTGCGGTAGACCTAAATACTTCAATTTTTATTGCGTCATCCTGTCCTGTCCAAAGAGGTCAAAGGTCCGGGTATAGCTGTTTCCGGTGGATAGACTATCGAGCCGTTTACCTATATACACTAAACTTCTTTCTTACTATTTTTCTTTTTTTAAGTAATGCATTTTTTTAAAAGAAAGACTCAGTGGTTTTAACTTCTTTTGTATCTATCTACCACAACATTATTTTTTGTTATAATGGCACGACTTGTATCTTCATTGAAATCATACGAAATGTTTCTGTATGTTCAACATCCTTGCAGATAGTTTTATAGGTGCGAAAGAAACCAATTTGGGGATGCAGAACTTGAACATCTTAGACCGTCAGATTGCGTCATCCAGCGAACGCGATCCTAACACCTCGGCCATATCTGCACGCCTGTTCGACGGTACTGGCTGGTGCCCCGATGGAAATGACGTGGACCCTTGGATTCAGGTATTCAAATTTGTAAATGATTTAATTCGTACTTCTTGGTGGTGATGGTGGTGATAATGGCTATAATGGTAATGATGATGATGGTAGAGGTGGTGGTGCATGGTGATGATGATGATGATTATGATTTTGATAATGGTAATGATGTTGACGATTATGATGATGATGCTGATTTTTTTTTTTCTTCATATGATTCGTTTTTTTTAATGATGGTAATGGTGATGATGATGATTATGATGATTATAATGGTGATGATAATGAGGATGATGAGGATTTTTGTTTTCATATGATTTGTTTTCTGATGATTATGATAATGGTGGTGATGATGATGATGATGATGATTATGATAATGATGATGATGATGATGATGATGAATAGTAATGGTGATGAGGGTGTAGTACAGGTCCACAGAACGTGATACCATTGGCCCGAAGGAAAGAAAACATAATGTCCCTGAATGCAACCTGTTATTGTGCTGGGTTCGTCTGCATAGATTGCATAACATACCCTAATGCAACTATTTAGAAGAGAATGAGGGGAGCAAGGGATCATGAGCGGGTTGTGAAGGGAATTATGTAGACGTTTCGACAGTAAAGATTTTTGAATTCATATTTAAATTCAAAAGCGGAGTCAGCTTAAGGAGGAAATCTAGACCTTTCCTCTCTATAAATTCAGTTACAAAGTGAATCATACATATGTGTTTATCTTCAATTGCATTTTTTTTTTTTTTTAACTGAATTCAGGTTAATATGGAAAGAGAGGTGGTCTTGAATGGAATCATGATCCAGGGCAGGGAATACACTGATTGGGTCACCAAATATTACATCCGGGTCAGCAATGATGGAGATACCTGGCTTAACTACGACAACCTGGATTACCCAACTGTAAGTAAAAGTGAATTAAATACAAAATGTATTCATTAAGTATAAATTGTACACTTTAGGAGTGCAACGTTTCACCTAGGTATAAAGGTGCAGCTCTGTACCCTTTACAAAAAGTGAAAAATTGTACAGGTGCAGCGTTTTACCTCTAAGCAAGAGTGCAGTTAATACTCTTAATCAAGGGGTTAATTATTTTAAGCAAAGGAGAACCTGTGTACTCCTAACCAAGAATGTACACCACTTACCGTAACAAGTGCTATAGTAAACAAGGCAGCAATTTCTATATTTAGGGGTGCAAAGTTACAAACACACGACTTAAGGTGTAACTTAACTTCCGGTGAGGTGCCATATAGTATTGTAAGGTATATTTTAATGACACTATCGTCGCATGGTCACAAATATATATTTTTTTCCTCCGATAACTCACAATAATTGATGCACTCATATTTCTTTCCCTTTCACCACCAGATCAGTCTTTCCCCCAACAATATTACTTTATCAGCAGCCATAAATTGTTTTCGTTATCATCATGATAATTGGTATTATTTGAAGTTTGGAAATTCCACTTTTGTTTGTTGTTCTCATTTGTATTTAATCACAGATCTTTGAGGGATCCTGGAGTTCCAACATGGTCGTTATGCAGACGTTACCCAATCCGATGTACTGTCAGCTTATTCGTATTTATCCGGTCGCAAATAATACCTTACCGTGTTTGCGCTTCGAGTTGACGTCATTCATAGGCGGGAGTGGTAAGAAAAACAAAATTCTTGATGTGAAATTTCAAAATTCAAGAAGAATTTAAACACTGGTCGATTTAGGGGGCGCAACCAGCCTGTTTCTAAAAATCCGGGGGAATAACTTAGGTACACACACACACAAACGTACGCACACATTCCCATATACACACACATATACACACGCACATAAAATGTGCCGACCCTAATTTTTGTTGGTTACCCGGTCTATCAACATTAGATATGAAAACATTTCCAAGCAGGCTACAGCCTATGAGACCGACAGACAGAACACAAGATCGACAGACTGCCATTTAGGTCTCGTGGACCATCTGAAGATCATCTGAGGGTTAACGAGACCAATGGCCTTGGAGACCGAGAGCCCATAAGACTGACAGTGTCCGTCTTGCGGGTCTTCTGACAACTTCTCTAATGGTTCACCAGACCAACATAATCGTTCTTGTAAGGATGTCAGTCTCGTAGGCGGTCGGTCTTGTAGGCTGACATTCTCGTGGCCTGTCGTTTTCATCAATTATTGTCGGTCTTCTGGACTGTCCGTTTCCGAAATAATCTAGAGAGGGCATTTTCTTAGTGGGTAACATTCGCCGTTCTTTGTTGACATTCTTGCTGTCCGATTGATATTGAAATTCCGACTCTCTTTCTCTAGGGGGGTCTACAGCGTCTCCAACGCCTCAAGGGAACCCTACCACTCCTGCAGCTGTGACAACGCCCAACTCTATAACCAAAGTAACGAGTAGTAATACTGAAGCAACCACAGCGTTGGTTGTCGCAAAAATAACAGCCCCTGGACAGGTACAGAACTCGACAACAGCTCATAGTACAAGTATTACTAGTTCGATTGTGCCAACGGATGGACAAAAAACAAAGAAAAATGCAGATCCGACGCTCGCTCCATCATCAACGATTCTACCCAGTGGGACGGGTGGTAACCCAAGTGGTAGCCGGTCGCCCGCTACGACTACGGGCTCCGAGCAAAAAGTACAAAGTGAGATTGTTAAAGCTAAGGGGGTGAGTATGACATGTCGGGCGGAGAAGAAGATCCACTTTGCCAATAATACTTTGTTTGAAAATGTAGCCACAGTTACCTTGCAAAAATGACCATGTTATTCGGGCCAACATTCTCTTTAAAAATCGACAGTTGGCGTTTGGACAACATGCAATGAATCACTGACATATACCTGTATTTTGGATACTAGCCAATTAATTTCTTCTTTTTTTAATTGAGCAAGTGAGATAAACTTGGTTGCCTGCGGCATATTTTGATTTCCTCGGGTAATCGATAGAACTCCTTGCATAAATTATGCTGCAATAGTGAGTTATGCCTGTGGCATAATTATTACAAGGCATTATTACGCCGGCAAATTAATTGAATCGTGCGAGTAATAACGCAAATTGCAATGACGCCCGCCTCGTGTGCAACGGGTATTATAACAGACGAAGAGTAAATGGCCATAGAAATCTATTTTTTTAGATGTCACAAAGATTATCCCTGTTATATCTCATGAAACAGGTTGAAGAAGTCTTCAAAGCTGTCACCGATGCTAACATTACTGTAACCTTTGAGACAGCGTCCACAGCGCTCAATGTCGTTGACAACCTGACACAACAGTCATCAGGGCAATTGAACAAAGAGGATATCGACAGCATCAAGGGAACCTTGTCTGCCGTTTCATCCCAAGCAGCCTCCACGAAAGAAACGGCTCAGGTCTGTTCTGTCAATATTTACAAGTCATCGTCTATTTGACACTTAAATGCAACAGATATGAATTTTAGAAAGGAACTAAGGTGTATTGGTGAAGTTTACCTGGTTACGAAAACGATGAAGAGACTTTCTTATTTTAGCGTGATATCCCAAACGTGATATATTATGTTTATAACACTGATGCGGAGGAGGGTGGGAATTTGGGTTTGGATGGAATTTATAATTCTGTTCCAGAAACATAATACTAGAATTAAACATAAAATGTGAATAAATCACCTGCTTCTTCTGACATTCGGAAGGCATTAAAAGTTTTGTACTCAACTTTTTTGTTTAAATACACATTCTGTTACAAATGAATGACATATGAATCAAATTCAATCTCATTAAATTCATATAAAATTTATAATAACAAGGGCTGGTGAATTTTATTGTAGATCATTGCCAGTATAAACCTTATACAGAAACTTTAAATTGATCGGCTTTGGGGTTTAGATCTGGTTTCCTCTTCGCATCAGCAAGTCAATACTCAAAACCTGACAGCTCGGCAACGAAATTAAAATGCTTACAAATTTTTAAGGATTAGGCTGAGAGGGATTTTCATAAAGATGTCGCACAGTTGCGTCAAGAACTTACCAATTCGTGTCTCGACTTCCAAGTGTCCCCCATGTGTTTTTCCTATAGTTGTGCCAATCACTGTTGCTCTAATCCTCAAAAATATTTGTTTCCTCTTGTTGTTTACAGACGTTCTTGGACATTGTCAAAACCATTCTTGTACCGAACGACACTTTGACGGATCCCGATACAGTATCTTCAGAGGTACTTTAAATGGTCGTCTTCTTTTACCAGAACTTAAAGTGACCGTTATTTGGCAGTATGAAAAGGCCAATGAACCTTTCTTGGACAGGTTGCTGTTAATGATGATAAAAGATTTATCGAATCGTTCTTGAAAACAAATCAAACAATAATTTGTTCAAACAAATCCATGTTGTGACATAGGGGTAATTCGTCGGTTGTCCATTCTTTTTGTAAATCAACAAATTTGGTGCTCCACTACCCGAAAACTTCTTGGCATGTTGTCTAACGAATGGAAAGTGTTTGGCATACAAAATGACAAAACAGAATACACTAATTCACCACCTGGAAAGCTTAAATAGAAATGGATTTTTATTCAAATGCACTTGAGTATTTCAAATAGAAGTCAGATTCATCATTAGATATTTCCTAGACAAATGCGAAATATTTCTAACTGATGTCCATGAATTGGAATTAATTTAACAATAGACCAATTCACATGGTATTCAAATACACGAATGGTTTCTACCTCACACAGTTCATGACGAGCTTTGCATTCACCTGCTCAAAGCTATGGTATTACAGTAAGTCAGAATGTAGGATTGATATATTAGTTGTTGCTATGTCGGATGGGCCTCTGTCTGGTCATCATTAGTAACCTTTGTAGTAGAAGCATGCCTGTATATATATATATATATATATATATATATTTTTTTTTTTTTTTTTTTTTGGGGGGGGGGGGGTTCTGAACTAGTAATGGCGTTGGTTTGTAAATTTAAAATAAAGCATTGTTAAAAAGATCATGTTTACAATTTGTATACTAAATAAGTCAATAGGTCCTGAACGTATGAACATCCTTAGTTTTGGAGGAGTATTCCAGCTTTCCCCACAGATACCACATCGTGAAGTTATCATTGAGAATCTTTTAGGGAGAAGTGATTGACATCCTGCCCAAAAATGCGGCTTTTTATATTTCAAAAATCGTAACCATGCAATAGTATTCTTTGTCTGGTCCTTGTGGAAACATATCGAGGGGTCAGTGACACAAAGACGTATCTCCATTTTGGCCATTTCGAGAAAAATTGGTTTATGTGCCAAGTTAGCACTTGGGCCTTAAGGAGTTAAGTCTATGTTTCACTAGCCATCGACTTCAATGGGGTGTTGGGTGGAGTTAAGTATTTGTGTTTCTTGGAAAGTCCACATATTTCCGAACATTTTGATATCAAATACTCATTATGGCAAAATATGGACTTACGTCTTTGTGTCACTGAACCCTCGATATTATAATTACCGGTATGCATTCAATATCAATTCATAAAAGCAATAATAGCAATAAGCAGAATAACAAACAGAGACACAGATCAAGATAGGAAATGTTTAGTCGATATAGGACAAACAAATTTAAGATGAAATATAAGAGGGAATTTAGCAAAAATCTCGGCGTGAAGTACCTCAGCGTTTTGAATAAAAGTTCGTGTTTTTTTAATTCCCTGTAGAATTCGACATCCGCAAAGAAGCACGCTAGTAGCATTATGGAACTTCTTGAATCATTCGCTTCGGATGCAGCTAAAAACCTCTTATCACCAGCCAAGAAGAAGGTCGTCATACAGAACGATGAATTAGGTGAGAGAGAAGGGGTTTAGTGGATCCCCACAAAGAGAAGATTATCTCTTGCATAAAGGGAGATCCCAGTAAACCGACAATAGGGACTTTTAGATTGAGTGAACGAGAACACGACGAACGCCGACTGATTATGCGTGTCAACATACTTAACTGCCCATGTTGACTACAATTAGAAATCTTTTAGATTGCACTCGACGATACATGCATGCAGGAAGTAACACTATGAACATCACGGACAAAGAAAGAGGACAAAATATACAGTTCCTCATTCTACCCTCAACAAAAGAACATCCTTTCACTGCTATTATGTAAAAATGTGTAGAAGAGGTGAATATGCATGTGACACCTGTTCTACACATTTTTACATAATAGCAGGGAAAGGATGTTCCTTTGTCTACCTGAGGAACTGTATATTTTATGCGCTCGCGGCATACTAGTACCTTGAGCATGTAAAGGCGCTATACAAATACCAATATATATGTATGTATGTACTAGATTTAGGAAAATCAAGGTTGACGCATTCTCGATCGCCAACTGAGACGACGTAACGCATGCGCAGTGCCTTAAAATGACGTCACACGTTGCAGTCAAAGATGTCGACGTGCAAATCTAAAAGTCCCTAATGTCGGTTTTTTGAACCCTCGGTAGAGTTGTCAGAAGATCCAGGATGTGCAGTCTGTCTCGTAGACAGTAGAATAGGGAACCCTCGGGTAACTCTTCCAGGAGGCCTGCCAGACCAACATTGTCGATCTCGTGGGCTGCCGACCTGTTGGTCACTTGAGTTGAGAATAAACACGAACAGAGAAGTAACTTTGGTATCAGGTTCAAATGCGATGGCACACTGATGTGTGGAAGTAGAATTTAAATCGTCATCAAATGAAATATAAACAAATGAACACGGCTACTCCTATCCTAATATTTTTTCTTTTCCCCTATGTTCTTCCCCGCTTTCCTCACCCCACCCCCCCCCGCTCTCTCTCAGACACACCCACGCGCACACAAAAACACCCACGCACACACCCACCCACTCACTCACAATCTCTCTTTTACATAGTTTGCTTTATTTTCTCCCCGACAGGTTATGTTAACACTGAATTCCCATCATGATGATTTGAATCAATTTTTGGAATATGCTGACAATGCTTAAGCCATCGTGCAAGTCTGTGTGTGTGCGTGTGTGGATGTGTGTGAGTGTGTGGCGGGGTTGGGGAGTAGATGAAACACCATGGGGAGTGCGGTGTTTATTTTCAAAAAATTATATTCAAATTGTGTTCCCTTAATAATGATTGATTTTCTTTATCCTGATTTCATTCATTTTTTGTAACAGTTCTACAATTAACAAAGATCTCACCAGAAGACACCGCAAACATCACAGAGCCAGTGATAGTGAGTGTGAACTCCAGTATGAATGAACTTCACTTCCCACCAGCCGTCTTCAGAGGGAGAAATGGTGAGATTTATCATTGAAACCTTTGTGCTGTTACAACTCAGATGTGTAGATACAGTGTTTGGGCACTTCCAATTAAATGGAAAACATCAGAAGAAAATGGGAGAACGAATAAAGGAAAGGAAGAGAGTATGGGGCAAGGAGGTCGTTGTAATAATTGAGAGCCCTTTTTATTCATTAAATTCACCTCAATAGGGAGTTGTGTTATCCACTTAGCCAGATGAATTTATTAACACACTTTTACATGATCGCAAAGACGTTTTCAAATATCAAATTAAGGTCAATTTCAATACCCTATTGTATATTAATAGAAATCATATTTAGATTAGGCAAAATTTCATGGTAATGCTCACACATTCCAAACGATGGTGAACGAGGTAATATTAATTATATTAGATTGATTTTCAAAGTCTTCTCTCGTGTTCTTTTTTAAACTGTATCCTGTCTAGACTTGTAATAATCTTTGTAATAATATTAGGCTAAAGCTAAATATGTCACAATCACAATGTTTACATGACTTCTTTCCATGTATTTTAATAGTCACCATCAGCGCAGTGGTGTTCAACAATCTTCATCTGACATCATCGTCCCAGCTTGGCGGACTCCATGGCAACGACACACCCACCAGCGTGGGGTCAAAGATCATGTCAATCCAGGTCGAGGCGACTGACGGGTCAGAGGTCACGTTCAGTGCCAATGATCCGATTGAACTGGTCTTAGAACTGAACGAGGTGAGGATAGATGGGCTAAGATGAGGGGGAAGGGTGTGTGTGTGTGTGTGGGGGGGGGGGGGGGGTGTTAATAAACACTCTCGGCAGTTTCCACGTGCATTGTGTCATGCAAACACTGGACATTGTAGAATTACCAAAAAATCTTGCACGCAGCGAAACGCGTGTCCCACCCAGATTTTTGTCAGTCCTAAAGTTTTTAAAGTACGTTTGTTTGTCACAAAGTTTACTAGTCCTAAACGCCGTTAGTCTCAATGTTCGTTTCTTCTTTAAAAAAAAACACCACCAACAACAGCTACTCGTGCTGAAAAATCATCACTTCTTTGACTCTTGGTTTGCTGATTTTCAAGCAATTCTCAATATTAACTGGTGAACAACTTTAATATCTAAGGTCTAGATCCGGAGTATGAAAAGTGAATTGTGTTCGTTGTGTAATTAATATTCTTCAAAATCTCTTTTTAATTCCTCTAGGATGCAAATACAACAAACACTCAATCCTTGTGTGTCTTCTGGGAGTTTCTAGAAGAGTAAGATATTCATTCATAATCCTGAGGGGTGTTTCACAAAGAATAAGATCGACTATAAGACGGACTTAACTATGACAGGCCATTCACGCCACTTTCTCTAACCATTCCTGGCACTGGTTTCTCAAGGAAGGTATAAATTGTGGTCACAAATCTACAGAATTTACATCTTTAAAGAGTTCATTATTTAAGGAAAACAACATTATCTAAAGATCATAATTGAGAGACCAATAGAGAGAGAAACCAGTGACATGAATGGCCTGCCATAGTTAAGTACAACTTACAGTCGATCTTATCTGTGAAACACCCCCTGATGGTTTTGCAGTAGTTTTATACCGTAACCATGTTATTATATTGTCGTATTTATCTGAACATTTTCTTAGTATCATAACAAGTTAATTTATGCAAAATTGATTTGTGATTAAACTCTGTGTTTATTTGATATCATAGATGTTAGTATTTTCTTTTATTTTAGTTTGGGGGATTGTGTAATCTTATTCCTAAATTAAATTTGTAGATAACAATCTGATAACCATACAAGTTTTTAATTCGTATATCTCTACTTATCAGACAAATAGTGCTTTGTGGCAAACACTGAGAAGAAACAAAAATTAAAGCAAACAAACACATTCGTTTTAATTAATACAGGAATGATTTTACTTACTATAATTATTATTGAAACATTGTCAATTTGAGTGAAACATTGATTGCTTTGCTTTGATTTGATTTGATTTTGTATTCTTATTATCATAATGTATTAATATTTCGGCAGTGAGGAATCAGGAGGGGTGTGGTCAACAGTCGGTTGTTATAGGAACCAAACCAATGGCTCGCAGATCACGTGTCGTTGTGATCACCTGACTAATTTTGCTATTCTCCTGCAAGTTAACCCAAATCCGGTGGTAGGTATTACAAACCTTATTGTTAAAATAGTCCTGTTTACATACTTAGGCATGTGCTTCTGTTTTACATAAATTACAATATACATGTAGTTCCAGTCAGAGGGGAGGGGGTAACTTTAATCCAGTAAGCAATTCCTCACCCTTAAAGCTTCTTTGCCATGCTATACAATATTTTTTTTCATTGATATTCTATCTTTGGATTTTTATACCCCGGTAGTATGTTCATAATTATCTTCATTTGATAGCAAATACCGTTTGTGTTTCGTTTGTCTTTCTTTCCCCATACCCCACCCTTATTTCTTTTCTTTTTTAAATACTACCGTTATTGTCTCTCTCTCTCTCCACTCCTTTATTTAGTTATAATTTAGTGTAATTTAGTGTAACAATAATAATATTAACAATAACAGTTCATTATTATAATTATTATAATTAACGTTATTATTGCTATCGTCATCATTATCACCATTATTATTATCATTATTATTATTATTATTATTATTATCATCATTACTACTACTTCTACTACTACTACTACTACTACTACTACTACTACTACTACTCCTACTACTTCTACTACTGCTCCTCCTACTACTACTACTACTACTTCTCCTCCTACTACTACTACTACTCATACTACTACTTCTACTACTACTACTACTACTACTACTACTACTATTACTACTACTTCTTCTACTACTTCTACTACTACTACTACTACTACTACTACTTCTACTACTACTACTACTATTTCTACTATTCAATGTTATTTTCATTTTCATTAATGATATAAATTTCATTAAAAAGTTAACATGCCTTATATCTTAAACCTGTAATTCATCAAATACTTATACAAGATCTATTTCAAATCATTAATCCAGGTATTATCCCTTGCACACCGAGTAACATTGGATATGTTAACCTACATTGGTTTGGCCCTATCCATAGCAGCTCTAGTATGTTCACTCTCCACGTTCGTTTTACTCAAGTAAGTACTGACAAAGCTACTGTTATTTTCTTCTCGTTCTTGTTTTCTAAGTCATTCTTTTTCCCATTCCTGTTAGGTTGTACAATACAGCCTCTGAGAAGAGTTGATATATGTTAGATTCCTTACACTAGTCGAATTCCCAACTTCAACTTCAAACACTATACCTATCCCTAATCCTAACCCTAACCCTAACCCTAAACCCAACCTAGAACCTACTTGAAACCCCAACCCAACTCTATATCTTTGACAAAATGAAGCTCAAAAAAGATTTATTGCAGGGGAAAATACTGGATCACCTTTGGTTCTTTTTCTGCGTGAGTAGTGTCGTCTTTTTTTTTATTAATTTTGCCTTCCAATCTCCTTTTCTTTCTCTCATTTTTTCTCTTTTCATCATTATTTTGATGGGGGCACATCCCCCTCCATGCCCCCTGTAGCCATGCCTCTCGCACTAAGAAGATAAGCTACAGTTAACATTTGACCCCTTGTACAGTTTATATTTTTCGTGTTTTGTAGCTCAAGGATGAAAGGTTGACTTAGAGCCTCTGTTGAATATTGATGAATGTTAACTTTGATATGTCACATTCTCAAGAAACATAAATCAGGACATATCAACTGTTCACATACTTAAAACATTACAAAGCTTCGTAAGGGTATGAATAATTTCTTTGTTAAATCTGTATCTCGTATCACTACCCTCTGTACAGGTTGATGAAATCTCAACGCACGATCATCCACACAAACTTGTGTATAGCATTACTATCGGCTCAGCTCCTATACCTGATCGGGATAGAAAGAACAGCTTCATCGGTAAAAGGAGTTTATTTTTCCATTTTTTACAATTTAAACAAATTATCTAATGATTGATTTAAATGCACTTCTTTAGTTCAGGAGTGAACTTTGTTGTGGGGAGGGAGGCAAAGATATAATTTTTTTTTTAATCCCAGAGATGAAACGAGCAACAACAAAATGTTGTCATATTTCAAACTGTCATTTTTATTTAAAGTTCTTGAATAAGCAAAATAAATGTGCCCCCTCCCCCTTTTTGTTGCTTCCCCCGGCTGTATTACTACTTCTTTAACTGGTCAAAAATTGTTTCAATAGGGAGACACGATTGTCCAATCCACTCACGTACCCCTATTTTGCCTATCGATGCCCCCGAGTTCCTTACCCTTAATCTTCCTGGTCTTTCGTTCAACCGACAGGAGCTGTGTACATCCATAGCAGTGCTGCTTCACTACCTCTTCACATCAACATTCTCCTGGATGCTGATGGAAGGCATATACATACTGATGCAGGCCCGAGCGGCCTACGGGAAGGGAGGCAAGACATGGATGTATATGGTAGCTGGATGGGGTAAGAAATAAGGGGGAAAGGAAAGGTGAGGGGGGAGATAAGGGAAGAGGGGAGGGGGAAGGGGGAAAAGGGGAAAAGAGAAAGATTAGAGAACAGAGAGGGAGGTGGGAGTGGAAGGAATGATGAAACTGATGCAGTCCCGCTCGGCCTTTGGGAAGGGAGGCAAGACATGGATGTATATGGTAGCAGGATGGGGGTAAGGACAGGCGCGGATCCAGGATTTCTTAGGGGGGGGGGGGGTAACTTGAAATCAATATGAAATTTAGTGTGCTGAAATTTGAAAATCGTGCCGGCCGATATTTTGCTCAGTGGGGGGTGGGGGGCGGGTATTGAGCACAATTTTTTTAGGTTTTTTGCTCCCGATAATTTGAAAAGCGCGCCGGCCGATAATTCGCTCAGGAAGGAAGAAGGGGAAAGTTGGATTAGGGTGAAACAAGGAAAGATTATAGAAGGGAGAGTGAGATGATTATGGAAGGTAAATACTGATGCATTCATGTTCGACTATGGCAAGGCAGGCAACTTGGATGTACACATTTACTATATTTCCAAATTACCATTCTACCACAAACAGGCAAATAAATCATGTCTCCATACTCATAAATTACTTTTTTTTTCTTCTCATTTTTTTTCTTCAGGTTCACCTCTTGTAATTATTGCAGTGTCTCTTGGGCTGCGCCTAGATGGTTATGGAACAGATGATTAGTAAGTTGATATACTGCACTCTTTGCATTTTTCTTAAATGTGTTGTTCACACATATGTGCTGACTTATACACAAGGAGTGGATGAATTAAAATGATAATTTGTCTGTTTTATAATGCGATTGATTGAAACAGGTGATTAGAGTTTGCATCCTTCACTTTTTGTATTTTTTCTAAAATTGTTATGTTTCAGCAAATTGTGTTGTAATTTGGTGTATTTATACATGGGGGTAGATGAATCATAATAAATGAAGGATTGTAATCCTGAGATACCATTTTATGAGATAAACTATACTTGATTAAATGGAACATAAATTTGTAATAATGTAATGCTTATTTTTTAATCAAAACAAAAATGATATTGACATTTACTGTATGAAAATGTGGAGATAAAGAGCAAATTTCATGTGTCTGTGAGTAAACAACGCAGCATTTGCCAAATCCTAACATCGCAGCTTGAAACTCATATGTGATACTACACGTTCAATGTAGATGATTCAATGAATGTTTAATTTACCGATAGATAGAATAATGTAAATATTTTTTATTTCAATTCTTTATCATTTCAGTTGTTGGCTATCTGTTGAGAACGGATTCATGTGGGCCTTTGCTAGCCCTGTACTGGCAGTGTTGGCAGTAAGTTGATGTTATGTGTCTGCTTGTTTTTTTTGTGCGTGTGTGCGTGTGTGTTCTTCATGTCATTATATGATTTTCCATTCATTTGTTTTGTTTCATTCTTGATAATGAATTACATAAGTGCTTATTTCTTAATAGAAATAAAAGGAGAGCCTGGTTTTCTTTTTCAAGATAAAAGTGGACACAAAAACGAAAAATCAATAATTACGAAAATATGAATTAAATTGATTCTAAAATTATTTTGCTAAGACAGTTTGACATTTAAAGTGTATTTTTTCTGTAATTCTTTTTGAATCAGTAGACAATAGATTTCTTGAGGACTTCAAGGAAATTATTTCATACAGATTGTACGTTTCCTAAAGACGAGTAGGATTCCACTAGTTTTTCTAATTCATTCTGACTTTACCAATTTACACTTTGACTTCTACATTCTGACTTTCATAATTTTGTGAATATTTTTTAATATCAATATGAATATTCTTTCTGTTTGTAGATAAATACTACAGTGCTAATCATGGTGATTCGTGTGTTCATGGCGCTCAAGGCTAACCTAGATAAGACAGAGGCAGAGAGATTGAGGTAGGTATCCATTCTTAATTTTTTTCTTCTTTAAAAAAAAATTAAATTGTCATGCAAAAATATACCCAAGATTAATTTAAACAAGCTCCTTTCGGCAATGTGATCATTTGGTAGTGTGTTAAAAGGCAAATATAATTCTTTTCGTGTCATTCATAATAATTTGGATTGTTTTTGCATCATGGCCCAAAACAGGTTATTCGACACCTTGAGAGAGCTCTTCCTGACATTTCTATCTCTGACACTAAAGTCTGATGAAGAGAGAGAAAAAAGAATCAAATAATACTGGTTGATTTTCCATATACATCATCACAAATATATGACTTTTTAACATAGTCACATAAAATCATACATAGAAAAAGGGGTCATCATAAGCAAAGCTTGAACTGATGTTCTTGTCATAAGTATAACATGTTCATACAATACATATATAATATGTAACAGGTGCATACAATATGGCAATATGACTTAAGATATGTCTAACTGCTTTTTTCAGTTTTTTGTTTTGTTTTTGTTTTGAGCATGGCTGATAACTGTGCCTACATTTTTACATGTCTTGTTATTATTTCAAATTACCTATATATTGCATTGTGACACAAAATCATATTACATCATATAATGTTACAATGTAGAACAGTACAAGTTGTCGTTGTAGTTTAATTTAGGCAAGTCAGACAGTTTATGGCCATTTTTGCCGAATACTATAACAAAATGGTTTTGAATTCAAATTTACGTATATACACTCACATAATATGCGTGTATATATTTATATATTAGATATATGTATATTTCTTTTTCTTCTTAAAAAAAACCCCAAAACCCCCAAACCAAAAGAATTATTTATTTCTCTTTGAATAGGGCTGGTGTACGAGCGGTTCTTCTGCTTCAACCATTACTGGGTTTCACCTGGATCTTTGGCCTCCTAGCTGCTTATGATAGCTCACTCTTCTTTGCCTACATGTTCGTCATATTCAACTCCCTCCAGGTGAGCATGCATGGGGCCATGGTATGGACCATGGGAGGGGCCCCCTTTTTTTAATGCTGAAAGGGCAGGGAAATGGGGACATGGGCATTTTGTAATGTTTTTTTTTTTAATGTGATTTTGTAACCATCTTTAAAAAAAATATTTTAAAAAATCTGTCCCATCCCACTGTATACCAGTTATAGATATTATATAGATTTTATATAATGTTATTTTTAAATGTTATATATATTTCATCAGCTCCTGATGGGAATAACATTCAAATTGCAATATTAGCCTTGTTATGTGATATGCTGTCTACATTTGTGTAAATACAATGTCACAGCAGGCGCGATCCTGGATTTCTCAGGGGGAGTCCCAAATTTGAAATCAATTTGAAATTTAGTGTGCTGAAATTTGAAAAATGTGCCGGCCGATATTTCGCTCAGTTTGGGGGGGGGGGGGGGGGGGGGGGGGGGGGTGAGCACTAATTTTTTTTCTTTCTATTTTTGCCCTGCAAATTTTAAAATCACGCAGGTCGATATTTCGCTCATTTGGGGGGGGGGGTGAGGCCCGCTCGCCCCCCCCCCCCCCTCCTTGGATCCGCGCCTGTGTCACAGAGTGTTTTTACATAATTAGTACAGTAACCGATTTCACCCATTTCTCCAATACTATACAGTTGAACCTGTTCCCATGCACTCTTTCATTATCATGATAGTTTAACCTAGGAATCTCCTGAAATGTCATTTGAAGTGAAATATTGACATCCTGTTATGTCATATGTTATAGATTCATGTTATTTCAAGTTTCTTTCATTATTTTCATTTTGCAGGGGGTCTTTATTTTCATCGTCAACTGTTTGATGAACGAAGAGGTGAGGACTTGCTAAGAACTTTTATCTCTAATTTTTTAACTTGAGCCTTTCACTTAAACTTTTTTAACTTGAAACTTTTACTTAAACTTTGTTTTAACATGAACCTTTAACTTAAACTTTTTTAACATAAACCTTTGCTATAACTGTTTTTACTTGAAACTATTACGTAATTTTTGTTTAACTTGAACCTTTTACTTACACTTTTTTTAACTTGAACCTTTTACTTAAACTTTTTTAACTTAAACCTTTTCCTTAAACTTTTTTAACTTGAACTTTTCAACATTATTATTACTCAACATTTGGATTTACAGATGGTGGCAGATCCAGGATTTTTAAGTGTGCTAGCTATATGGAAAGGATTCAATATAATGGGGATGTGTGAAACCTCAACATTTATTGAATGCAATAAGAATTTACCACCTGGTATCGCCCCCCCCCCCCCCCCTCCCACCCAACATACCACTATTTTTTCTAGATGAACAAAGGATCATAAAACTACTGAACACCTTTTAAAGCATTTTTATCAATGTTTATAAATATTACAAAACTTTCAAAGAGGAATAAACAAGGAAGTCAAATAACATAATGAAAAGAAATTGTAATATTCCTATCAATTAAGTACTAATGTAGAAGACTAGTGTCTTTTAAGGAATGTCCAATTTAAATTTTCTTGGAAAACAACAATCCTTCTTGTTACACGAGTTGGCAATAAAATATGACGAGAGCTGAAAATGTCTTGTATCTTTAAACAGGTCAAGAAGGCTTTTAGGGCCAAGTACCATCGATACGGGGGCCATGGCCGGCAACGAAGATCCACCCAAACTACTCAGATGTCGACCACTGAGACCTCCGTTGCCCTCAAGACTACGCGGGCCTTCATGGATAGGACCCAGGCTACAAGCAAGTCCAGTCAGAGATCCAGTGTTGTGGAAGGGGTAATGAGCTTGTAAATCCTTTTTTTAAAACTTAGAGACATTTGTATTAAACGCTATATCAAAATAAAATATTATTATTATTATTAATAATAATATTCTGGATTTACAGAGTACTTTGTATATCTACAATGTCTCTTAAGCACTTAACAGATGTTTATACCGTATAAGCCCTATTATTACCCCAGTCATCAGATTCAGGCTTGCCCACACGCAATTAAAGCACATTCTTCACTCCCTGGGCAGCATTCAAGCCAGGCGTCATTTCACAGGCAGCCACAGTGCTCAACAAAGCACATAGAAGTTTGCCTCCTTCGCAATTTAACTCCTGGGTGGAGAGAAACATTGTAGATTAAATGCCTCACTAAAAGCCATAAATGCCAGGGATCGAACCCACAACTTTCTTATCTCTGACAAGTATTGACACCACTCCATCATGCCTTTACTTATTCTTTTTTTCTCAGATTCAATTCAGATGAATAGTCTTTTACTTAATGTTTGTTTTTCAGCTTTTATGGCCAATCGACCTAGTAAAAAAATTCAAGTGTTAATTAAGTTAAGAAGCTAACTTTTGAAGTTAATCCTAAACTGCTTGAAAAACCATGAGACAGATTCAGGCAAAGGATGTTAATATGTAGAGATTTGATGATTTAGTTACTTTTGCTGTTGCTGTTCAATCAAGTAATGAAGTTGCTTCAATCGATACATTCATTTTCACTAAGATCTTAAAATAAGAAATTATCCATTTTCCCAGATGAAACAGCATAATCTTTTTTCTGAATACTGCTGTTTAGATTACCATTATATATAGATACTTTATAGATTAGAGAAACAGTATACCTGTATGTACATTTTGTATATATATATATACATCTATAAAAGATCTGTCTCATTTCATTGTCTCTCTTGTGTTTTTTAATTTCCACTTATAGCTGGCTATCAAAATGAGGAGTACTAAAGTGCAGCCATTGTCAGGTTTGTTAAAATATGAACTTTTAAATCTCTCACTTTCTCTCTCCCCCTCTGTCTCTGTCCCTCCCTCATCCCCCCCCCCCCCCTCTCTCTCTCTCTCTACATACGTATCTTTACATTTTTCACACCTGTTTCTCACTATTTTATCATTCAATAAATGGTTGCTATCTCTGTAAGCCTTTTCCCTCTATTCATAATTTGTTATCACAAAATATTCATTTTTTTTTATACAACAAATTAAACAATGATTCATGTGAACAGGATATGTGAAAGATATATCGCAAAGAGTTTAACATGCAAAGTTCTTCAGAGACCTAATAAAGAACATTGTTTAAGACCCTTGTTTATACAATGTATTTCAATGTTTTTTATCTCTACTTTCGTTATTTTTCCTTCCTCCCTATTCAGCTGACAAATCCTCAACAAAATTGTGAAGAATTTTCTGGCTTTGATGATCAGGAGTTTAAAATGCATCAATGGGTCAAATAATGCTCAATCTTTTTAACGACTTAAAGTTTTCATCTGTGAATGGTAATTCTGTATTATATACCGCATAACAAGATTCTGGGACTCTGATTGGTCAATACTGCAGGCATGGACTTCTCTACTGACTGCTGGGTAGTATACCAAATAATATTGACCGGGCATAGTTCTACTTGTGCCTACAATGCATTAACGCAACAATTGCTCAATGCTTTAGATTGGTGAATTTCCTTGGACTCTACAAATAAAATACACTTCAAAAGTCATATATCTGTTTTGAGAATTGATACTGGGGTTGCGGTATATAAAACAAATATGGACTGCTTATTGCTTGGGTCATGATTAAAACGATTGCTCCTCTGCGACCTAGCTAGATACTGTACTATGTCCTCAACTTTTGCTTGGGTCACAGTGATTCCAGATCCCCTTGGACAATAATTTTGATCTTGCCCCTTAAAAGCAGTCAATATTTGAATAATATATTTTAGTATAAGAATATACTATCTTACAATCAAGCACTATTCTTGTAAATTAAATCAATGAAAATTGCTTCAGGGTTGCATATGTTTCATAGATATGAGTATGAATTGTGTATTCTGTGATGTAAATATTAGTAACCTACACATTTTACAATGAATGAATACTCTTGTTGGTCAAATCAATATCACTATTTCATTTGTTTTGGCGCACTATCTTGAAGAAAATATTGATGAATTATTCATATGAAGTGCATTTACCATGACATATTGTATTAGTTATTAGAATGCAATAATCTTATCTTATAATCAAGCAATATTTTGTTAAATCAACAAAAAGGTTTCACTTGTTTTTTTTAGCTATATGTCAAAGAAAATATGGACGGATTGTATATATTAACTGTTTTCTATGACATAATTTTTGTGTTCGAATAAACATGTTCTATCTTGTGTGTATTAAAACAATAAAACAAAAAAATTGTAGAGATTTTGAGCTTATATGCTTAAGAATGTATTAATGAATTATGAATATGAAGTGAGTTTTTGGTGATTTTTTATTAGAATAATCATCTTATCTTAGAATCAAGTAATTTCTTGTTAATTGAATTATTAAAATTCTTTCATTTTTTTGGAGCTCTATGTTTGAGAAAGTTTTGGCAGTCTGGTACTCCCCAGGATATGTATTTATATGTATACATTGGTGAATATAGTTTGGGATACTTTATAGAAATTTTATGTATCATTTTATTTTGATGAAATGTTGTTATTGTGTGACTTGGTAGGCAAATTCACTAAGGAATCACTAGTATATGCATTATAGAAATGTTTTTTTTTAAATATTTCACACACTTTTTTAATGATATAAGTAAATTATCTATAGGTCTTATTGCATAGTAATGTAAAGTGGTATATTTCATTTACAAAAGAGAGTGATAAAAAAAAAGTATTATATTTATGTAAGAAACAACAACAAAATCCTATCACATGTTATTGTATTTATTGTACTCGATCTTTACATATTTGCAGTATGTGATAGTAAAAAGTTTCTATTTTTCTACTTTTGTAGATAATCTGAAAAGTATTTCAGAAACCTCTTCAATGATAGTTTGTGCCATCGCCAGAGTTATCAGTAATATTTTACTTTCTATAGTATCATTGAATATTATCAATATCAGATAAAGAGATGTATTTGTAATGTGATCATGGCATAGGTCTACTCTGTGAGTCAAATAATGTTTACGTTGCTATAATGGTCAAATTGTACTTTCTGGACAAAATGTATTCCTTTGTGATATTAAGCTTCATATTCGTGTAAATACAAGATAAGCCTGAATGAATTTATCTCACAATGATTCACTTATCTCTCTCTCTCTCTCCGTTCCTCTTTCTACATCTCAGCTACTTTCTTCCAATACTTGGCTATTCAATTTAAATCAAAGCACTCCTCCATTCAAATAAAAACAACTTTAACCAAAATCTCTGAATCTTTTATAATGTTAGAATTCATTTAATTCATATTTCACCTATGAATAACAAGTTGCATATCAATTATGCCCACACAATACCGTGTGCATTAAAAAACAAACTTGTACAACATATTACAACAATCCTCTCACCAATACGTACAGAACTATATAATTTTCCTGTCATTTGCACCATTGGTGTCGAAAAGAAACAGAAATTAAGTTAAAACTGTGAATGCTATCTCTCTTATCTATTTACAAGGCTCTGATGACGAGAAAATTGCAGACTTCTATTTGCAAAAGAAGAGATGGGGTGCATTCTTAAGCCCAAAGTATAGTTTCTATCTCAATCAAAGCGTCAATGCATTTCTGTCTCTCGGCAGACCGTAACGTAATATCATGTCTGGGTTTGTGATGGCGATGATATTCAAAGAGAAATTTCTTTTATTCAATGGATAATAGACACTGTATAAGTATTCCAAAGCCTTGTCACCTTGTAATTTTACTGTGAAACTACCTTGTATTGTTCCTGTTTGAGATGGACTGCATTAAATTATAATTTGTGCGCCAAAGTTTGGTTTGTGTCTCCATCTTTCTCAAGGTCAAGGTGTCTTGGATCACTCTTTCATTAGGGCCGACCGGCAAAAGGACGTTACATCACATCATGAAAAGTCAAGCTCAAACCGTTGTATCGATCTATGCTCACTACACCTCTTATACTATTATATGACTCTCATATATCTATACAACCCTACCTTTACTGTCTACTTACAGCTAGGAAATTGTTACCTAATAACCCTGAAAAATGATCTAGCATCCTTTTTGCTCTGAACAGGCATTATCTAAGTTTGGAAATGTGTGTATGAAATAGCAAATGAGTGAATACAGGTACTGCCCACTGGAAACCAGAAGATCGTTATGTAATATCCTTCAAAATGGAGTTAATGCCCGTCTAGCTTCCTATGTATGGTATCTAATTGTGGACATAAGTCTGTATTCCACCAACCAATAAACCCATCCACCTATTTACACAGAGCAGAGAGATCTCCAGCAGTTTAACAGACGTCCCAAGGGAAATTATTTGAAATTAACACACCCGTTAGCACTTTTAGACAGGATAAAGTTGGCCATTACCTTGTTTAAGTATCAATTACCTTGTATGATGTATATATGTAATACGTCGTCTATTAAAAGCCAGAATGGTTTTGTCTCTATGTCAAAGTATATGAGAAAACGTCCCTCTGGTTCGTAAAATGTTGAATATTTTAAATGATCATCCTTTTGTGGGAGGTGCAGGGTTATATCACAGCACCTACAAAATTAGACTGCGTTACCCAAATAATATCAATAAATGAGGTAAGAGTATAGTCCATTTCAGTAAACTGTGACATTCTTAAAGCAAACGCACAAGTGGTTTTCTTTATTGGGAAATAAACACACACATACTAACTCACTTTACTAAATAAACTCAAGAATAACAATATAACAAGGATTTTTTTTCTTTCTTATCTCTGAATAAAAGGCGGTTAGGCCCTCTAAATTTGTGCATTCGACTTCCCACTCACAACGGCAACTGGAAGTTGACATCTACATGAGCATCTTTTGCTAGTCCTACAATGGTGGATAATCTAACGACCTGTTGAAAAATGAGAAATGAAAGGAAAGCAGAAATTTACTTTTAGTACAATAAATACCTTTACAAATTCAAATTCAAAGATAAAGTTGAGTGATGAAGATCAGTCATACTACATAATTGCACTAACTTGATATCAGTTTGAAATAACATGCTCAAATATAAACTCGAGTTCTGGTAAATATAGAAAATAAATTCTCACAGAATCCAACGAAACGTACACTGAATGTTCAAGATTACAAATAAATGATATGTGCCAAACAATTTTGGTAGAAAATGTATAGCGGCTCAGTAATGAGCATAGAAAGATAAGGAAATTTGGGTCAGTAGGCCCAACCCTATGTGCTTAACACAGGTCACTATGTGCAGATGGGAGTTGTGGTTTTTATTGAAGATGATGCCCAGTAAGTTTTTGTGTGTTTGTTTTTAATTCACTGGTTCAAACAACCAATCTACTGCAGGATAAACAATCCAGAATAAATCATAGGAATTTTCTCTCAACATATGATTCCGATACCAGAGCCTATGCTTAGCTTTAAGTTGAAAAATGAAAGAAAGAAATCACATTACACTTGTTTTACAGTAAATATAGAAGACTACGTACCATCTTTGCTGCTTCATCTAAATCATCACAGGCCAGTATCCTGAGATCACTATGTGCAATGATTGCTTTAGCTTCGTCAACCATGGTTCCTAGGAGACAGAATGACAGAGAGTAAGGGAGTAAGTGAGTAAGGGAAAGAGTGTGGGGAAGGAGAGAGAGAGAGAGAGAGAGAGAGAGAAAGAGAGAGAAGAGAGAAAGAGAGAGGGTGAGGGGGAGGAAACAGATGAAAATGACAAGAGAGTATAAGAGGTAAAAATGAGAGAGAGAGAGAGAGAGAGAAAGACAGAGAGAGAGAAAGAGAGAGAGAGAGAGAGAGAGAGAGAGAGAGAGAGAGAGAGAGATGAAACACAAATATCAGACAGAGAGAAATGGAAACAAAAATAAAATTGAGAGAGATATTTGTAATTTTTCTTTATATCTTTGAACATTTCAATTTTGTAATTTTGTTTGTATCAGTCTCCAGACTGTTTTAACAAGGAATTTTTGATTCAATAAACCGAAATGAATGAATGAATTAATGAATGAATAACCAATATAACTTTGTCACAATGAGAAATGTTGTAACAATGTTCTTTTTAATAAGGTTCCATTGCATGAAGATTGGTGATACACTCTTTGCTTGTGTTTATCTTGTCTTGTGACATCATTTAACTTTAAAGGTAATACAAAGTTTTGGTATGGGGTCATCAATTTGGTTCAAATGAACATATTGGAAGCATATGCGATCCTACAATATTCAGTGATCGTTGTCGCGGTTGAAATCGAGTCTTAAGTTATGAAATTGTAAATAATAAACTCTTTATGTTGTATAGCTCCCTCTCAAGGTCAAGATCTTAATTAAGCAATAAAACAATGTTTCTTGACTAAAACCGACCGATTAGCTATTCTCGTTTGGAAATTATATATCACAACTACATATTCTGAGATTTTCATGGTTGCAGCTACCAGTATACGGCCAGAGGCGCTATTTGAAATTTATCAAAATTTACCGGGAGCACCTGTAAATTTTTATATTCAATTTTTCTCGAAAGCAAAAGTGTTTTAGGGGCTAAATTTTCTAGTGCTTAAAATACATCCACAGGGGCATCCAAATATATCAAAATTGTAAAGAATCACTATCCACCCAATTTTCATATTTCCCAAAACTTTGTATTACCTTTAAGCACTTTACCATGTGATGTCTTGGAGAAGGCTTAAAAGAATTCAATTCAATTCAATTCAATTTGTTTTATTAACCATTTAAAATCAAAAACAATATACAAATTATGCGTGTATGAACATTATTGATACAGTGTAAATGGTCAGGGTGCCCCTAAAAGCCAAGGCTTGATGAATGGGGCCCCCTATACATAAAAAAATATACATAGCATAAAAAACATGAGATACAAACAAACTTAGTTATACAAAACAACAAAAAAATCAAAACATTAAGCACTAAACATACAGGTAAAGGGGAAAAGGAAAAGGCGAAATAAAAAAAATAAAAAACGTAGGGAGGAGAGATGAAATTACATGTTTATTTGACGTAGGTAGTTATTATTGAACGTTTGAGTTTGGTTTTAAATGAAGTAACATTAGTGCTGGAGATTACATCAGAAGGGAGGGAATTCCATATTCGAGGACCAGCAGATTTAAATGCAATAAGAGTCGATTGATTATGTGCTAATGGTAAATGGAATTTGGAGTGGGAACGGGTATTATATTGGTGGTAGTCTTTATTATACTGAAACAAATTTGTTATATTAAGAGGTGCTAAATTATGTTTCACGTAATACATCAGGATCGCAATTTGGATTTCATGAATATCAAAAATTGTCAATGTGTTTAATCTTGCAAATAATGGGCGTGACGGAGCTAAGTAAGGGGAATTCGAACATATACGTAAAGCCTTTTTTTGCAGTCTATGTAAAGGGGTCAATTTAGTAGTGCCACAACTTGCCCAAGTAATATTGCCATAATAAATATAGGGAAGTATTAACGAGTTGTAAAGCATTAACAGGTGCTTTTCTGTAAGGGTACTACGTAATTTAGATAATATACCTATGTTCTTTGACATCTTATTACTTATAAAAAAACGGTGTTCCTTAAATGATAGATTATCATCAAGTATAAAGCCTAGAAATTTGACAGAGTTAACAAGATTTAAAGTAACATCTTTCATTTTTATATGAAAATCTAAAGAATTGTGTGATACATGAGGTTTTCTAAAATACATAACATTAGTTTTTTCATAATTAACAATCAGTTTGTTAGCATCGAACCAATCGGCTATTTTACATAATTCAGTATTGGTTTTTTCTAATAAAAAAATGAAATTGCTATGGGTTGAAATGATAGTTGTGTCGTCTGCAAATAAGACATAATCAAAAAAAGAAGACGCTGTACATAAATCATTAATATAAATTAGGAAGAGGAGCGGGCCCAGTATGGAGCCTTGAGGGACACCATACTGGGCTGTCGAGTAATGGGAATTATAATTATTAAATGAAGTATAGTTATGTCGATCAAGTAAGTAGCTCTGGAACCATTCCCACACTGCTCCCCTGATACCATAATGGGATAATTTATATAAAAGTATGTTTTTATATAAAAGTATGTTTTTCATATTAGAATGGGAATGATTCATTCAAGACTACCTACCCTGTAACCTGACGACAATGGGTACTTTGAGATTGAGTTCATTGGCAGCGGCAATGATACCCTGAGCTATGATGTCACATTGCATGATGCCTCCAAAGATATTCACCATGATGGCTTGAACCTAGGATATAATATGAAAAACATAACAAAGTCATCATATCTAACATAAAATAAAGATTTCTAACCTTTAAAGGCATCGTTTAACTCTTAAGCTGCCACCCATACAATGCACCCAGTGCCACAGTGCTAATCCCTATTGTGCCCGCTACTAATCTCCTGTGTGCCAAGTTAATTTAGGGTTGGTTCAAGTGCGTGTAGTTTAAATTGTTACTATGTTTGATCCACTATAACATCTCATCTGTATATTGTATAAAAAAGAATTGTAAGTTAAAGTTGTAGGAAATTTAACCCTCTTTCTGTTGATACCAATATCATTTCATGAATCTGTAATTTTGGTAAAGTAAATAAGCACTATCAGTGAGTTGTCAAACCAATCCGTTGTCTCATTTCCCGCACACAATTTGAGGGGCCATGATCAAAACTGACAAATTTGATGATAAAATATCGCAATTTTCTCAGGAAAATCCAATGTAACGGTATATGTGAAGCACACAAAATCAAAACAACAATAAACCCCCTCCACAAATACAGTAAGCATTTATGCGTGCACGCAATGCGCATCGCACAATAGGCATAAAAAATTAGCTTGTGTACTTATGCACGAAAATGTGTCCGTGGCACGCGAGCGGATGAGAGTTTATGTGTGCATGGCATGTCAACAGAAACCCGGTTATGTGTGCGTGGCACGCCAGCGCATGCACAGAACAGTGTTCTTGGCACGATAAGAGTTAACAATGTTAAATCGGAGATGTGTGGCCCTACGTGTTATCAGTGTCAGTGATATGGTGTAATATTGAAGCCATACAAAAATTCGCTTCAAACTGATCATGAAGTGCCTCAAAAAAATAAAAATCTCTAAGTGATCTGTTTTATCATACTCATTTTCCCCCACTAGACTATGGTGTTATAAAAACTGTTAGGAAAACAAAAAATTAAATTTTGATTTCCAGTCATAAATATCTTGATAATCAGACAAGCAGTCGGCTTGTAAAAGTCATGGGATTCCTGACTGACCTAAAGGTTTATGACCATGATTGCAGCATGAGCTAAATCCAGGATTTAGTTTCAGAATCTGAGGCAATGTCACTGAGTCACTTTAAGCTACCTCAGGAAGACATAATCATTCCCTGAATGTGAAGAACACAGTGCCGCCTCATTACCTTGCTATCCGATGTGATGAGCTTGAAAGCCTGCTTGACCTGGTCAGCAGTGGCTCCGCCTCCAACATCAAGGAAGTTTGCAGGAGTACCTCCATGAAGCTTAATGATATCCATGGTTGACATAGCTAATCCAGCTCCATTTACTGCAGTCGTAAAGATCAAGATTAAGGATTAGGATTATGAGTTCAAGGGATACCTCTATTCAATCACACATCAGAATATACCTTAACAACAGAGCTGCCAACCTTGTGCGACCAAAAAAAGGAACCATGATGGCAAAAAAATGGAATTTCAAGCAAAAAAAAGGAATTCAATATAATCGAAACATACAACCACGCGTGACACACTTCCAATGCAGAAATATCCATTCCTCATGATGTTTTTTCCATACAAGGAGATATTTTTTTCTTGTTATTTTGGTATTATCCTTAGTATGTTTTAAACTTAGTTTTCTATTGAATTTGTAATCAAATCAACATTTTAGGACAGTTGTTTGACGTGTGGTATGTAAAAAAAAAAAAAACATATTTTATGAAGAAAAAAACGTAATACCATAATTTAACCACAATTAGCAGTACTTTGACTAACGCAGTTTTCAGAAAACGGCCCTGGGGTATTATTTATATAATATGGGCTGGCCTTGAGGGAGATACAAATATATTTCCCAAACTAGACTCATACTGCCCCGAGTCAAAGACGAGGACAATATGGGTCTTGTGAGGGTAATATATGTGGTATCTCCAAAAAGTTAAGCCAGTCACAGGTAATAATATCCGATAAGAATAATACGGGTAATAATAATAATAATACGGGTAAAAATATCCAATAAAGTAGCTTCAAACAGCTTTCTACCCGACATTGACAATAAATATGAAATCTAAGAGGACATTTTTCAGTTTTTGTTTCAAGATTCACAGAATTGCGCTGAATAGTTCTCACCTAAACATCCGATGTCTCCATCCAGACCTATGTAGTTGAGGTTGTACTCCGCTGCTGACACCTCCCTCTCATCTTCTTGGGACCAGTCTCTCAAATCGTGGATCTTCTTTTGTCTGAACAAAGCATTGTCATCAAAGTTGATCTTGGAGTCCATACACAGTACTGTAGCAGAATGAAAAGGATTAATTAATGATATATATCACACTTGTTGGGGGGGGGGGGGGAGGAGAAGGGTGGTGTTCCCTCTCTCTCAAATTATCTTTTTTTTTGTCTGAACGCAGCATTTTACAAAAGGTGATCTAAGCCTATGTATACACCATACTGAATAAAAGGTAAGTACTGGGGGATACAACATATTTTCTGGTAACAGTAGATTTATGTATTTTGTCTTTCATGCCCCCTCATTTCTTCACCCATTCTCTCTCTCTCTCTCTCTCTCTCTCTCTCTCTCTCTCTCTCTCTCTCTGTTTAAAAAAAATAAGTAATTGCTCCACATTCTACATTACAGGATTGTCTCATACATAATATTGAAGAAGAAAACACATATAAAACAACAAAAGACATGTAACTTATTGCATCTCTCTCTCTCTCTCTCTCTCTCTCTCTCTCTCTCTATCTCTCTCTCTCTTCAATGAGGTTCATTCCTGCACTAAGAAACATTGCAGTAAGCCCAGTATTAATTTATTATATTTGTTATTATGTAGTTTATTATTGTTATTATGTAGTTTATTATTGTTATTATGTAGTTTATTATTATTATTATTATGTATTTTGACGTCACCTGAGCCTGGGAGGCAAAAAGCGAACTGAATCTCTGTAAGACTCGGGTCTCTTTTCCCAGAATAACTGATTGGGATTGTGCAGGTGGACCACTACACCAGGGTTTCCCCTTATTCTTATATGAATAGTGCAGTGGGTTCTGAACGTGCAAAGGTGGTGACTCTCCTCTACACAGGACCTCCATTTAACATCCTATCCGAGGGACAAATGCATTATCTTTCACCAGAACTCTTCATGTATCATCAAAGAACTTACCTTGTCCTTCGCTGTCTTCGACCAGGGGGTTGATCTCGAGCATGGTAGCATCATACTTTATGAAGATATTATTATACAGGTTCATAAATGTTTCTGCAGCCTGTAACATTAAACAAGAAATATAGATATAGAGTTTATATTTAACATCATTCCGTGGCCTCTTACTTTATGAAGACGTTATCACCTATGTATATAAAATGTATTTGCCACTCGTAACATTACATTACAAGACATCACCGTCATCGTCATCGTAGTCGTCGTCGTCGTCGTTGTCATCATCATCATCATCAATATTCTTTATTAGCTAAATCAAAGTCATTTTTCTTTTCAAATCTGAATTTTGCAACTGGCAGTGTTTTATAATTCACACAATTCGCTCTGTACAAATGGGGGCTTCAATTTTCCCTCACAGAGAGAAAATCACAGACTCTTCTGCACATACGTTCAATAACACATCTTGCTGTTACAGCTTAAATTGTGATAAGTTTTTGAGAGCTATGCTAATCCCTGAGAGGATCTTCAAACCAATATTCGTCAATCTAGCTTTGACTGTATTCCATATAAAACTATAAATACAGTGTTATCTGAAGATGATTTTTACCTGTTCCACAGCTCTGTCGGGGAAGCCCATGAGTTTGGCCATCTTTTCCGCCTGTGATCTCTGAATACCTGGAAATTAAAGTTGACATACAATAGTTACTCAATACAAAGATCTATCTAATCACTTGACTGGAAATGCGAAAGGTTGTGGAATGAAGCCCTAGCACAGCACTTATGTAATTGAGCAAGATGCTTTATTTACAATGTTTCCTCTTCACCGACCCACATGCTAAATGAGTACCCGGTAGGTTGCAAAGGTCCACGTGAGTGGATTAGCATTGACATATCCGTAAAAAGGCAACTAGCTGGAATGCTCCCCAGGGAGTGGTGAATGTGATCCTTAATGTACAGAACAGTGATTGAATCCAGTGACCAGGGTCATAATAACACTTTAATAAAATGTGGAAAAGTGCTTTTTTAAGATACAGGTATTATTACTATCATTATTATTCATATTTGAAGTGATAGATTTCATAATTCTGAACCTTCATAATTCCAAAATAGGGTTCATCATTCTGAAACTGAAAATGGTTCATAATTCCGTAAACAAAAAAAGGTTCATATTGTGAAAATAAAATATAACCCTTCATCCTTTTGGGAATTACTAACCATCAGAATAATAAACCCTGTTTTCCTTTTTACGATTATGAACCCCCTGGTGGAAAATTTGTGTTTCAGAATTATGATCCTTCAGAAAAATGAGAAACCCCCTTCAATCTTTTCTCCTACCTGCTTCAATATCGATGGGTTCTTTGATGATTGCTTCTGGACTCTCTGCTGCCACATCCTCGATGTTTACACCACCCTGTGAACTGCCTACCAATACTGGCCCCTGAAAACAAACAAACAAATAGACAATTTTAAAAATAAACAAATAGATCCTGGTTATAATAAACCTGAGAAAGAGAGCGTGGTATCTGGAAGTGGATGGCATAGGAGGGAAAGGAAGAGGGAAGATTTCATGGAAAGTTATGGTGAAGAAAGAAAGCAGTAATGTTGGTCTAAATGAGGAGGAAGTGAGTGTCATCGGTAACCCCTCATAAGAGGTGAAATACTGACTTTATTCTATAAAATTAATGATGATGAATGATCACTGAGCTATTCTAGAGTGAGCTAAATAAAACATACATGGCCACACATATCATTGAATATTGAATAATGATATAAATTTATCATCACTACTTAGAACACTAATGTCCTTTGGCAAGACATTGATCTACATTTGCCACTCTCCACCCAGGTGTTAAATGGGTACCGGTAGGACGGAATTCCTTTAAATATTGTGAGCGTTGAAAATCGGCAGCCTAGCATAGCCGGGTAATGTTGGAGCGTCTTGAGGACCTTGCAAGGTCAATAAGTGCGCTATATAAGAATCCAATATTATTATTATTATTATATAAATACTTTCTCACATAAGGCAGTTTCCTATTCAAACAAACAAATTGTCAATCATACCAATTCTTAACCACATAAAGAAATTGTTCAAAGCATTTTTGAATTCCTACCCTTTGGTACTATAAATGCTTAGATTTGCACAGCCAATAGAGTAATGCTACTTTGCATGGTCCATCCTTCGATATCAAGGTAGAATTTCTTTTGTGCACACCAGATTTCTAGCCACTGCTAAACATAGTCAGAACAACGACCCACATATAAATAATAGATGAAACTTACATTAAATGCCCTTTCCATTGTGATAGCAAAGTAGTACTCTCTCCTGACATACATCCTCTCACAAACAAGAACCTGGAAATAAGAGAAAGAATGAAAAATAATAAAAATATACATGATTCAATCACATCATTGTAATAATCTGATCCCAGGGGATGCTCAATGACTTGTCAATGTGTTTACAAAGTATTTCACAATAAACCCCCCTGGGGGGCGTTTCATGAAACAATTAGTTGGTGGTTTTCACCGACTAATATCATGTTCACCAACAATTTAGTCAGCGCTGACTAAATTTGACCAATCACAGGCCTGGAAAATAGTCAGTGACAAAAGAATTGTCGGTGAACATGATATTAGTCAGTGAAAACCACCCACTAATTGTTTCATGAAACGCCCCCCTGGCTTGAGCCAAGATGCTGTGTATTGATGATTTGTCTCAAAAGGGTGCGGGGCGGTGTGGTTTGTTCAATGCGCCTTTCCGAGCAAAGCCCACCCCCCTCCGCTTGTCTCGAAAGGGTATGTTGAGAACGGAGTACCGCCTTGACGCACCCCTCAGGATAAGCGGGGGGACTTTTCTCGAAAGGGCGCGTTCACCTGTCTTCCACATCAGTTGTTTATAATAGAATTTAAGGAATAAAAATTTAAGTTGATTAAATTGAAATAATCAAAATTGAAACAGATCGAAAATTAAATAACACTAGTTTTTACATAGTCTTGCAGATCAGGCGTTTATAAGAAACCAAATCGAGTTTGTGATAGTATTTTGGCATTTGTTATTGACAACAGGCTTTATGAAACAAGGCCCTGAGGTAGCCCATGCAATTACTTACCGAGTTACAGATCCTGCCTCCCTCACCGGTCTGCTTGGTGACCAGCTTGTTGCCGATCATCTGGGAGGCCAGATCTTTGACCTCTTCCGGTGAGAAGGCCAGCTTGACCCCTCCCTTCAGACCACTGGTGAAGGCGCCCTTCCCCCTCCCGCCGGCCAACACCTGGGCCTTGACTACGACATCTCCTGACCCTGTAAGAAGAAGAGAAATACAAATATGTTACTTTTATACAAGTACTCAAGGTTTCCTCACCTGTATGGGTCCTGTAACATAAAATGTTACAAGGCACATTATGTTGAATCAATCTTACCTTTACAATCTATAATAGTTTCTAATTAATTTCATTCTAAAGACATATAAAATTCATTACAACAAGAATAGAGATAAGACAGCTCTGCTCAGGTAACAATTGTTCTGGGCCTTATTTTGTCAAAAAGTATTGGTTAGGGTTGAAACACACGTTAAATATCCAAACACATGAGTTTCAATGGGATGTCCAAGAATTAAAGACTTAGGGTAATTTCAAAAACCTGGCCCCAGTTTATACGGATACCTATGAATAAACAAGTCACTGAGATTCTTTTATTCATTTACAATTTTTTTTATTTTACAAATTGCAAAAATTGATTGATAGTTTTTTAAATCATGATTCAATTATTTCTCTGTATTAAACTTTCAAGAATCTGCATCAATCAAGAAACATGAATGCACTTGGCTTTCTAGGTACGTACCTAAGCTCTTGGCAATCTCATAAGCCCTCTGTGCAGTGGTAGCCACCTCGGCTCTAGGGATAGGGACGCCTGCTTCCTCTAGTAGATCATATCCCATGTACTCATGGATGGAAAGGTTTCTATGCTGGTCATGCTGAGGGAGGACTGAACTCGATTCCAATGACTAGAATATGAAGAGAAAAAAAAGAATAGGAGTTATGGATGGGTACTCATAGGCTAACAGCTAAGATTTGTGGTGGATATGGAAAATATTCAATGATGAATTAGTGCAAGACCCAGAGGCTGGGACATCCCCCCCCCCCCCCCCTCCCCCTTAAAGTTAGACCTTGAAGTTAGACCTTCTTCCAGAAGCTATGGTAACACCAATATCAAAGTGAAATTTACTTACAATTGCGAATGACTTAAAGCAAACTACCCATGATTGACACGCTTAACTTTTGTGTAATATTTGTTCAGCTCATCATTTTGTTAAATAAATTTACATCATCATTATGACTTTTATGTTATGACTTATGTTGAAAATGCTTTGTAAACTGATTTTTTTTTCTTGGATATGAAACACAGAATTTGGATTCAATTTTTCGGGCAAATTGTGATTGTGATTCCAGGACCCCTTCCCTTTACTCAATACAGATGCGTAGGTAACTTTGCATACATCAGTCTGTCTGAGCGCTACTAAAGTGCACCTCATTGCATTTTTTGTGCATTGGGGACAGCACTGTGCTGCCAACTGGTGAGGTGCGGCATTGCACGACTTGGAACAGTTACGGTACCCAGAGCTACCAAGTATCACGCATTAGGCGTGACATCACACATTTTGAGGGTCTGAAAATGCTCTTACGCACGACGCGCTCGCTAGATTTTGAAAAAGCGCTATACCTTATACGTGTGTTATACCCTCCCACGCTCGCTCGCGCGCCGAATCATGAAAATGTCACGCATTGCCGATCTTTGAACTTGGCGTCTCTGGGTACCAGTGGTTAAGGGGGGATTCGTATTGGATCACAACACTTGTGGTTCATCAGCAGGGGCGCTGGTCTGAGAATGAGCATAGCCCTCATAAACGCGGACAAAATGCGTCCTCAAAAATAAGGATTAGATCTAGATCTATCTGCATGTTCGCGGACGTTTTTTTTTCATCAGCGCTCTGCGAGTTTCGGATTACCGAACCGCACCGCTGGCAATGTGAAAAATGAATTCCCTGTGAGAAAATAACCCTAGTTCACCGTCTTTTTTATGGGTTTGTCCGTCTCCTCGAGGATTTATCGCTCATAATGAGAAAGTCTCTGTCCAAAGTCAATGTAAAATGCATAAAGAAAATCATCCGTTTTTGCACTTCTACTTCTACGACGATACTCAGCAGGATCCATAAGTCAGGATGTAGTGCATCGCTTTCGATTTCGAAAATATGAAGCGTCTGCGAAATTGCGGACGATCCTTATTTTTGCGGACGCGTCTGTCTGCATTTTTGAGGACGATCCTCCAGCGTCAAAGGACCATCTTCACCATTCAATTTCATGTTCTTCCTCGAATTTTGACAAAATTTTCGGCACTCTCTAATAATAATAGAATATTAAAAATATGATAAGATCAAGCATCATGGGAATACAAAAGATTTGTTTTAAAAAATTCAAGTGCAATGTTAGGTGCGCAGAGCTGCTCCCCTTTATTATGTTGCGCGTACGCCTATGTGAGGGAGTTGGTACCCAGTGCAGCCTTGCAGCCCAGCCCAGCCGTTCCCTAGACCTGCCCCTGCATGCTCCGTAGGCTGGCCTCGTAATTGTAATTGGGTGAACTGTCATTGTGCAGAAATGGACTTTGAAGGAGTGTCAATTTCCTTCTTTTATTTCAAATTCACAATTAAAGAAATAAACATTCGTAAACTAAATAATGCAAAGATTCAACAGAAGATAATCTTACCTTGAAAAGACGAGGAGATCCTCTCGTTTTAGGCAAGACAAGTTTGCCGAATTTCCAAATGGAAGCTGCCATTTTGAGGCCTAAGTGTTCTTCAAGAATTGCAGCGCCACCTTGTGTTGAAAATGTGCCACTCATTTCGGGGGGGGGGGGGGGGGCAACGAACTTGGATTTCGATTTGGGGGGGGGGGGCATGAGAACATTTGGAATCGGTAAAGTGGGTGGGGGCAATTTATATTGCTCAATCCATTTACTCATTTAGTATTTTATGAACTTGATGAAATGAACTTTTCATGTTCATAGAGAGAAAGTGACAAGGTAATACAGAGTACGATGTTTTACATTAATGGGGGACTTGAAATTAGGAATTTTGCATTCCATATAAATATTAACAATTTTAGGTAACATAACAAAATAAAAGACTTAAAAGGACTTTCTGACAATGAACCATAAATAGCAAATATGAATAACAATTATTTTAGAAGAAAAAAGATGAATTGACAAAGTATCATACTTCATCAAACTTTATAAAATTATTTGCGAAAGAAGGAATGCCATTGTTAGCAAATGCTTAAAAATATGACAGCCCAAAACCAATTTTATGAAAAAAAATAAACAAATTTATTTAGCAGACTGGACAAATAATTGAAATTGAAAGGATAAATGATGATGTAGATGATGATGATAATGATAATGTGGATTGTAATGACTGAAATATATACAGGGATGAAAAACTATTATCACAAAGACTGAAAAGTTGACACATAAATTTTACATATTCTGATAATAACGTTTTATTTTACTTTGGCTTTCAATGAGTAGAGGAAGCAACAAGATTTGATCTATTCTGGGAGAGAATTCCATCTAGATGTCTTATTGATCTATGTACAATGTTGAATTTTGGGATCAACAGATGAAAGTTAGAGGAATTATGAGTTGGGTAAGAGTGAATGGTGATATTTATGGTGAAAAAGATTCAAAGTGAAAGTGGTATCACATTATTTAAATATTTAAAAATGAACAGTAAAACTGTTTGGGTTTTTAATTTGTAAAATAATGGACTTGTGTGAGAAAAACATTGTGAACCAAGCCATAGCATTTGTTATTTATTAAATATAATTATACTAAAGCCAGGTCTGTTGATTTTTTTTTTAATTCTGAATTCTGAAACTGAATTGATTTAAATTTAGCAATTGAAACATATCTAAAAACTTATAGAGCCTTTTGTAAATAATTTGTTCTAGGACTTTTGATATGGTGGGAAGAATGGAAATAGGTCAGTAATTACCTTTTTCGTGAGGATCAATTTTTTTGAAATACAGGATCTATACATTTGCAATTTAAGCAACTCAGGAGTCAGAACATTCCCTGGTGTTAAAGGGATAGGTTAAAATGTTAGCCAGGGGAGTACACATAAAATGTATAATAGTGCACATTAAAGATATATATTGATTTCTAAATTTGGATAAATACGGTTTCAGAAGAAGAAAAAAATCACAGACCTAGCTTTAGTACAATTAAATTATAAAATATCAAATGCTATGGCCAATACAAACATGTAATGGGAGTATCTCTACTTTTTTTAGTCCATGTAATTGACTTTCTAACAAAAAAATGAAAAGGGGGACCCCCACAAAGAAGAAAAAGTGTAAGAACTGATATTAAAAATAAATAGAGATTAGCAGTTAGGCATATTAGTCTTGTGTATAGGAGATCATCTCAAAGGTATTATTTCATAATCTTTATCCTATCCCTACTCCCCCACTGTCTCTCCCTGCCCCTCCCCTTTTCTCCCTCTCTTTTGACACAACACCTTTGAATGTTTCCTCTCTTTCTCTCTAAGTGCTGAAAAGCTCTCCCTACCCCCCCCCCCTCTCTCATTTTTGTGTCTGCATCTCTTTCTCTCTCTCTCTCTCTGTATGCTTTTGTTTCTCTCTGATCTCTATTTCTTTCTGTCCCTCTTCCTTCTTTCTCTCTACCACTCTCTCTCCCCCTCTCTCTCTCTCTCTCTCTCTCTCTCTCTCTATTTCTCTCCCTCTCTCTCTCTCTCTATTTCTCTCCCCCTCTCTTTCCTCTCCACTATCTCCCTCTCTTTCTATTTAGCTTACTCTCTTCGTTCTTCCTCTCCTAGGTCATACATTGTTCTCTCCTTTCCATTTTCTCCTGTTAATAACTCTTTTAATTTCCCTTTTCTCTTTCTCATTTATGACGGCTATATAAGTTTATAAATTCATTTTTTTCTACAAAAATATCACAGGTACCATTATGATTATATACAATAGTTATAATTCCCTTTATTTAAGAATGTATAAAACAGTAATAAACAGAAATATATATTTGTACATTTCACAAAATTACATATTCCAAAATAGTACATTAAAATGGCATCAGTGTTAAAAAGGTGCATATTTCTATATATCAAGCATCATTTACAATGCGCATAGTACTTTACAAGTATTGACGCAAATTAATAATATTCCTCACCAAAAATATTGAATCATTACAATATACAGTGCGATACATACTTTTTTTGTATAATATAAAAATAATAATTATACATGGTTGAAAATTTACAGTCTCTTGAAAGCCATCGTATCAATTTCATAAAAATCACAGCATTAAATTTGTATAAATTGGCAAATAATAATAACAGTGAATAAATACACAAACGAACATATAAAACTACATTCACTACTTTGCAAATGTTCAGTCGAGTTTGATAAGGGTAGGAATATCAACTAAGCAGCTTAAAGGCTTGATCAGATATGACGGGGGAAACTGCCGCAAACAAGCTGCGTGTATATGAATGGCACCAGCGCACAACGAAGGTCCTGCGGGTATTCAGTAGGTTCTGTGTTATAAGATACATAAATGTGAAGGGCATTACAAGGGGTCAGTGACACAAAGACGTAACTCCATTTTGAGAAAAAGTGTTATTTGTGTCACTGAGCACTTGGGCCTTAAGTCTATGTTTCACTAGCCATTGACTTCAATGGGTGGAGTTAAGTCTTTGTGTTTCCTGGAAAGCTCACATTTTTCTGAACATTTTGATATCAAATACTCATTTTGGCAAAATATGGAGTTCAGTCTTTGTGCCACTGAACCCTCGATTAATTCTGCGTTAAAAGTAAGAGAGATAGTGCTCTTCTAACTTTAAACGATTTAGAATCACGATTAAAATATCCTTTATACTTCAGCCATGGGTTCTTAAGAATATTTACACAACCAATCATGTAAAAAAAAAAAGTATTATAACAAATTAAAATGTATGGCACCAGTAATTGTAATAATACTACCTTTTTCCATACAAACTTAAATATTTTATGAGATTACACTGCCAGATTTATTTTTTTGAATTTGAAAGATTGTTAAAAGTACTGCATTTAATGAAATAAAAAAACACCTACTAGAACAAATGTACTATCCATTTGGTGTTCAAACTGCATAGAATATTAGATGATTCTTGTTATACAACAAATTAATATTAAAAATAATGGTCCTACATACCCAGGAAAGACTCATTAGCATAAATGGTAATACTGCTATTTGAAAAAGTTCTGCAATTATGATTACCCTAACATTGCCATGTACTCTTTTATTTCAACATGGTTGATAGGAATAAATCTACATGGGTAAAAACAAAAGGGTTCAAAAACATTGTGAAAGGATGTAAGCATCAGGCGAGGATTGAACTTGGGACCTCCCATATGAGGGTCACAAGCCTTAACCACAGGATCACAGTGGTTTCTGTGCAGTGTGAACTTTTGACACTGCCCACTCGCCACAAAGATGAACTTTCCCAAAACTAAATTACATAGAAAGCAATATTTTAATGAGTTTAGATACAAATTAAAAATTGTGGGACTGTTAAAAAACATTGATGTAATCATTATTGTAATTATGATAAATTAATTTCCACTGATTCTGACAGAAAAATAAAAATATATCAAATACTTTTGATAAACAAAACTTGTCAACATTTGGCAAAAATTGGACACACCAGATAAACATTTTATTAAATGTTTTAAATCCAACATTTTATTGTCTATTAATCAATGTCTAAATATGATTAAGCCCGGAGGATATGTCTCATTGAGGCCTGAACAACATTCGTGTACATAGAACCCAATAAAAAAGGGCAGTTTTTTGCAAGGTAATCTTCCTTGTCATATATGAAAGGGGCTTTAAACTGGATTATTTAAAACAAAAGTTTAGACTTGAAAATCAGATAACCATACATCAATTCTTCAGATTCTTCTTCAATCATAAATTCTTCACAGTCATCTTAAACTATACACTTTGCGTACGGTAGACAATCTTCTTATGCAAAGATCAGCTATGTGTTTGCTGTTTAGGAAGCAACTGTTCTTCTGCGCCAGCTCAATCTGATACTATGGTTGAGAAATCCTGGCTACATCACTCCAGATGTATTAATATAATACTATGGTTTCATTCCCCTTTCACACCAGCCTGGTAGTGTGAAAGGGGTCATGATATAAAGACAGTGTTTTTTCACACAAGGATGTAATACCACGTAATACAGGTCATAGCTTAGAAGCAGAATGTCACAAATGCAGAAAGACAGAAAGACAGAGCATCGCTGAGGTCAAGAGCAGTGTGACTGAATGAAGTGATGATGCTGCTCCTTGCGTGTCCGGTCTCCTCGTTCTTTCAACGGATGGGTCTGTGGCTGGTCTGTATGGGATGCGCCTCGTTGGACCGCTGGGGTCTTTCGTTCTTGTCTCACCAGCGCCTCTTGATGTGGGCTCGAAACTGAAATCTGTTTCCTTGGGGGTAACTGCAAAGAGAAAAAAAAATAAGAAGTGGAAATGAGGACTTGGGTACTTGTTGTCATGTGACACTACTTTTTTTTAAAACTGAACATGACATACATACCAACAGAATCTGCAATTTCAAAGGTTTCATAAAGGGTGTAATCTATCCTTCAATTAAAATCCTATGTATTCCACACACAAAAAAGAGAGAAAGAAATGTAATGAAGAACAAAAATGATGAACCTTTAAAAAAAACTTTTAAAAACCTAGTGCGTCCCCCAAGGTATTTTAGACTTCACAGGCATCCAAAGTTCCTGTCATATGTTTTGCTTGTCAGAGAATTCTGGAGTTAAAGGCACTGCAAACTTGAGCAATGATGTGCCCTCTCCTTTACAAAAGTCTCTTCCCGCCCCAAAACTCAACCAAAAGAATTTGTCATGATATATACCTGTTGTGTAAGAGAACTGAGGAAGCGTTGAGTTTTCGACGCCATCGCCTGATCCGCTACCGGATAGATCCCCGCTTCCAGAGAATTCTTCAGAGCCGCTCCCACTGTAGTAGTCTCCACTCCCAGGCATCGGCAGCATGCCAGCGTCTTCCACCGTACTCCTCAAAAATCGCTCAATGAGCTGCAACAGAAAAGGGATTTATTAAATAAATAGGTTATTTTCTCTGTATTATACCAGGTAATTAAAGCTAGTCTGGTATTGTTCTTGCAATTTTTGCGGGGATGGGGGGTGCCATTGATCAAAGTATGTTTTACAAGAGGCCAATGTCCAGATAACTCTCAAACAAGAGGGGCAGATTAGTATACCTTTGACTACTTTACATGTACCGTATATAACGGTGTATAAACCGCACTTTTTTGCCGCCGAAAAAATTTCAAAGTCGGGGGTGCGGTTTATACACGGTACACCAAAAAAAAAAAAAAAAAAAAAAAAAAAAAAAAATTAATTTTTTTTTAAAGTTTCAATTTATGCCCCTCCACCTGGCGCTATGCCTGGCAATGTCTCCCGGCTCGGTAATCGGTGTGTTGACTCACCACTCAGAAACTAGAACAACACTCAAATTTGTCTGTCATCTTGGTTTGAAAGTAATCTTTCTGATAGAACTCAATATGTAGTTTATAATAATAATTCCTCCAATTTTTTTTCTATTACATGGTGTACCACAAGGTTCTATCCTAGGTCCCTAATGTTTTTTAATTTACAGTACCGTTATGATCTTACACACACAAAAAAAAAATCTCGGCAAAAAAAAAAAAAAAAAAAAAAGTTTTTTTTTTTTTTTTTTTTTTTAAGGGCGAAAAAGAGGGGTGCGGTTAATACACGAGGGCGGTTTATACAACGTTATTTACGGTATGTAATTATGCCATCTTCCAAAAACTGGTATTAACAAATCAATATCCATGAAAAGTTGAAAAAAATACATATTTCTGAAATAATCATTGAAGCTATAATGGAAGAGACATAGCTACATTTTTTAAAACTGTCGACCAAACTTAGTAGAAAGTATTTTCATTCTCAGCAGTCTGTCTTTATCATCAATAGATATATATGACCAATAGCTGTATAATGAAACAGCGCCATCTTGTGTTAAAGTGTGACCAGGCATCTTCCACAACATCAAATGTAGGTAAAATATTGTGTTAGAAAGAAATATTTAAAGAAGATTCTGCAAGTAGAAGGAAAAACATACAGGAGTTTTCCCTTTTCCATGAAATATAGATTACTTTGCAACAATAGTAATTGAATGCAAATCAAAAGAAGATTTATATGATTCATGAACATGTGTTAATTCTGTGTGATGCAGCTCCAAGAAGGAAAACAAGTGTATATATCTGGAGATCCAAGTACGCAAATATATTACATTTTGACATTTTACAAAACAAAGAGTAGATTAAATTCTCGTCGGGAATGCTTCATACATTCATTTTGATTTTCTTTGTAATAAAATACACTTGAAATTGAAAATCAATTGCATGGTAACACATGATACATGTATCATGATTTTCTTTGGAATAACCTTCAATTCAAATTGAAAATTAAATTAAATGATAATACTTCAAACATTATCATGACTTCTTTTTAATCTTCCACTCCTTTCAATGAAAATTCACAAAACGACTTCAGTTCATTTATTGAATGGTTAAACTTCAGACAGGTAATATAACGTTCATTGTAATGGCCTTCAGCTAAAATTACTTTGTATATTGTATGTGCGTTCAGTATCTTTACAAATCAACATGTGTGCATATTTATGAATATTGTCATTTTTTTATACTATTACATGGAAGATCTTGTTAACATACATCCCTGTATTATTTAAACAGAAGCTCCAATGCCTACAAATTGCAATTGGATAGTTTCTGAATGTTAAGTTCTCCTTAAAGTCAAACGCTGTTTACAATCAATTAAATTAGTCCATACCCATAAATTGCAATTGCATGGTTTCTGAATTTACTCTAAGTTCTCCTTATAGCTGAACACTGTTTATAATCTAAGGAAATATTTCCTTCCCTGACAACAAAAAGAGAGACAAGATGCTAGCAGATTGGGATCGACTCTCTTTTTGTGAAACTAGGGCGGAAAAGCCAGTTTAGAGAAAGAACCTCCAAACAATATGATGGGGGACACCTCACAGGCATACCATACACAAGTGGTGGTTTTAATGGGTGTACAATAAAGGGTCTTAGCGGGGCTAAACACACAGGATCAGTTCCCTTTCAAACCTATTCTTAAGAATGGGCCTCTGTTTGAGTAGTAAATAAAAGGACTATTCAGGGAGAAAGTTAGTGGAAATAGACAAAGCTGGCAAGATTGGGGGGGGGGGGGGGGGGGGGGGAGGGGTACCCATGGGCGAAGAAAGCAAGTTTACTTTGCATGTCATGGTCTTCTTCGGACTTGTGGGCCAAGATCTCTGCATAATGTGTACCATATTATTCTCACGAGGCTAGCTTTTCTCTGAAATACACTTTTGGAATACATCAAAAATTCTGCATTGACAAATGAGAATTTTCAATCATTTGCAAGAACTATTTCTTTTTTTCTCCATATAAAAGGAGTGGGAGTCGGTGGTGGTAATGGTGGTTGTCGTCATGCATCATCATCATCTTATGGTTAGCATGATCATTACCGGTATTAATCACAATTTAGTGTTATTGTTACTATTATTTCTATTATCATTATCAATGAGGGAACATTCACTATGAACATGACAGACACAGAAAGCGGACAAAATATACAGTTGCTCAGGTAGACAAAGGAACATCCCTTCACTGCTATTATGTAAACAGGTGAATATGCATGTGACACCTGTTCTACACATTTTTACATAATAGCAGTGAGAGGATGTTCCTTTGTCTACCTGAGGAACTGTATATTTTGTCCGCTTTCTTCGTCAGTCATGTTCATAGTGATTTAACAGAATAAAAGCTGAATTTACCTCTGTTTTGTGCTCCAGTTTGTCCATCAACTGCAGGGCATTTAAAAGTTCTCTTTCTCTTGACGTTAGCTTGACTTCCGGGTTGTGTAGCTGTGCTGCCAGACCATCCTCAACAACGATCTTACGATAACTGCATCATCAAAGAGAAAGAAAAGATTGGAACACTTAAAAGATGATGTAATAATATAGACTTATTTTTACAGAGGAGCCTCATCAATATCAATAATGCTCCTGCTGATTGGCCCACAAAGACTGTACCGGTAGTTATTATTATCCCAATATTTCCAGGTTAAAATGTATGTAAAACACGTTGACTGAGGAAGAAGTAAAAAGAAGTAAGGAGGAGGAGGAGAAGGAGGAGGAGGTGGAGAACAGAAGCAGAAGAAGAACAAGACTAAGAAGAAGAAAAAGAAGAAGAAAAAGAAGAAGAGTAAGAGGAAGAAAGAAAAGAAGAAAAACCAAAAAGAGCAGATAGTGAAAAAAATAGTAATTAGAATAAGAAGGAGCAGCAACATTATATCATCAGATTTAAAACGTTAATGTTCTGTGTAAAGGGAATAAACAGCAAACTCTTTTTTTTTGTACATAGGAAGGGAAAGAGATAATGTCATCTTCATTACCAAGATGTCATAGATAGGGTATTAAGCGGTGTCTACACTCCACATATACTACCACTTGACGGTCCTACTTAACACTCTAAGCGAGTGTAAGGGCACACATCTCAACGACTCTCAAAGATTGTGACGACATTTCATCAAGGATATGTCAAAATCGTGATGAAAGGGCGGCGCAAACACTCGCAATGGCCCTCCGTCCTAATTAGTAACAGTTTGGCTTTGTGGTACGTGGGCTCGCGAATGTTTACAGCCCGGTTTCTCCATCTTTTCAACAGCCTGTAGCTGTGTATGTTGTATGTTCAAAGGCTTATGGAGTTGACTGGGTGAGACAAAGAGGGTATTAGACACATAAAGAGAGAAAGTACAATTATTATGTGGTTTGCAGTGGTTTGTACTGCACTTGCTAATCTCACTGTGTCTATCTGCAATTATTTGATTCAAGAGAGAAAACATGGACTTTGGTCCACTAGCAACATTTGACCATACTTGAAAAGGGGAGCAAATTTGCTCTTCTATTCTTATCCCTCCTAAGTTCAATTTGAGACACTTCTCTTCAACTGTAACACTCTTTCTAATGAGAAAAGTTAATCAACAGAACAGAAGACAAAGACTGAGAAAAATGACAAATTTCTGGATTGTAATGAAAAACAAGAATTAATTCCGTTCATGAAAGAGTCAATTTTGGAAATGGCAGAAGCTAGGGTGCAAATTCTATCAGTGCTACTAGCCAAATTGATTGCTAACAACTATATTGCGTGCTAACACCATCTCATGATGCCAGCACCATGGACCTCTATATACCCTTGCTTCAAATGAACACCAAATATGAATTTACCAAACACCCATGAACAGAGTATGGTAGGTACTTTGGCATTGCTACTAATGCAGAAATTGAAAAGAACTTGATTGACTGTTGGTTTAATACTGATTAAAAATCACACACATCAAATGGCATACATAGTAACAAAAAAGGAGAGAGAAAGTAAAAAGAAGGAAAACAAAGTCTAGGCATTTTTCGAGAAAAAAATTGCTACAAAGTCTTCTTTTGTCAACGGCACTTTCCACGCAATCTTGGACATGTTTTGAGAGATAACAACGTCTCAATACACTTCCTTGACGAGTTTGGAGAGTGGCGTTGTCTCACTAAATTTTTGGTGCTGTCCAATCGGTATATGCCTGTATACCAGTACCCCCCCCCCCCCCCCACCCCACCCCACCCCGCTCACTGCATCAAGGGGTGGACGCACTTCAAATACGTTCCTCCTCCACAAACACCCCCAAGTCAGTGGGTATGTTTTCATATTGGATGCAGTTCGGTGCGAGGTGAACTGCATTTCAATAATAGACAGGATTGATTGAAATAGCGTTTGATCGTTTGAAGAAAAAAAGTAGAGAGAGAATCTATGACCTACATTATAAACTTTTAACTATGTTGTGATTGCATGGTTAAGTCCAAGGTGTATCCAATGCATTACTGAGTTCTATTGAATTGTATTATAGAATTTTGAACAAAAATCAACTTGAAAATATCAATTCATTTGATGTTTTGTCTGATTCAAACACCAGTAGGACAATCAGCTTGATACAGTCATCAAATATAAGGAAATCTTAGATGTGGGCATTAACATAAGAGGCAAAGTAGCTAGCACTTGCTCATAACTCTACAGAGATTCAAAGTATAGGCCAATTATAAATCATATACATAAACATATTTCTCACTTTCTGTGCTCACAAACAAATTCAAATGTACTTAATCATAAGATAGGTCAGCCAACTATTAGTGAATTATTAAAGCAAAGTTAAGAATTATATCAGGGGCAGTTCATTCAACTATATATTTAAACCAGATCGTCAAATATAGCAAAACAAATTTATAAAGGGGACCTATTTCATCCCTGTCACTTTGTGGCAATATCTGGAATTCATTTCTTTATTCCCTACATATTTTTTCTTTTTCTGGGGGCTTCAAATTCAATTGGGAGTTTGATTTGCATCAGAAATTTGATTTGAATTGAAATGATAAGACCATCTCTGAAATAGCCTCCATGCAATCCTCCACGCTGTCATTTGTCGACTTGGGAGATATTAGTCTTATTTCTGTCTTTGTTCCGCTGGGGGGATGCATTCAAAGTCTGGATATGGGGTCACGCTCGCAAACAAATCCCGACTGGCTGGAAATGATAACCATTCCGACCGCTCCAGGGCAGCAATATCACTTCACGTCGTCCTCCCTCCACAAAGATTTTCTTGACTTCCAAAGCCCAATATTGGGCCGATTTTTATTATTGCACGGCCATGGCTTTTTATGACATGCTCCATCACATCATGGCTATTGTTCGAGCCCAAACGGACAAACATTAAAGAGAAGATGCATTTCTTGTAAAGATGAAAGATTTATTTGTGACGTCTTTCATTCTTTGTATGTTAGTTGGGAAGAATTTCATAGTAGGAATGTCCACTGAAAAGGATTGCTCTTAAAAAATGTCCTCACAGTCAATATATGAAATATAAGAAATAGCTGAAAAATTTGGACCACACTTTAAAGTGTAGTCCCATATCCCGATTTCAATGTGCAGGGCGTGCGATCTGCAGCACGTCCGAGTCAATTTATTTCCATTGTCATCATTCCGAAATTTCACAGTACGAATGGATTTTTATGCACAACATAATCCACCTTTCCCCAATTGCTTCCAGGCAGTTTCTTTCACTAGTATGTAATCACACAATAACCATGCACTCCTCAACTCTATCTTTAAAGTGCCAGGTCGCCAGTCCAAACAGTTTTTCTTTCTCTCGTGTCGAGATTTGGCATGGTATGGTATGACACTCAATGCCCGCGAGGCACTACCCTCTACTCTTAGCAAAATGCAAACATAAAAAATCATGCTAATTGTTCGTAGGCAAACACCTTTAGCTGGTAAATCAATACTATACGGTTTTCACTCACATCAAATTAAGATTTTCTTTTTTGTCCACTTTTTGTATGGAGGGGCTGGTTAAAGTGCCTTTCAACAACTTTTTAACAAAATTCAGCTTTATTCAAACAAAAATAATTTATTTTTGTTTCTCCTTTTTATTCCCTTTTTATTTGGGGGGGGGGGGGGGGCTGCTAGTTATAAGGCATTTCAACAGCTCTAAAGAAAATGTTCATCTAAAATTAACCTTGCTTTGAATATCAGGAAAATTAATATGAAAGACCTGTACTGCGTGGAAAGATAATGGATGGTTTTCCCTTCACAAATATATTAATAGTACATTTTTCAAGTTTTGCTGACTGAATGGTCACACGTTGTAATATGAGAAGCTCAATATTCAATTAGTTTTCTTCCATTCCTGTTTCTGTCTAGAGCGAACGTTTATGGCTGTATAATCTCCATCAAATTATAAAAGGGTTAATGCTGAAACTCAACATACAATATTCTCTGAACAAGTAGCCCTTTTTTTTTACAACTTTTACATTTTGGTAGGCTGAAATGGTAGCCTACCAACAAATAATTTTCAACATAAAACCAGCATTACTATTTTATATAATTGACACTATCCTCTCAATTATATCGCTTATCCCGTCTGTCTGTCTGTCTGTCTGTCTGTATGTATGTCAGTCGCCTGTCAGGCTGGCTATCTCTGTCTGGTAGGGTCCATGGTATGATTCTCTGATTCTCTATTTCTCTACCCCCCCCCCCCCTCTCTCTCTGTTCTTATTCTCTATTATCACAACATCTCAAAACCAACATGTTACTGCTCTCTTCAAGTCTTCAAAGTGACGAGTAATCTTCCTTAGCACCCTCTGACGAATCAACTAAAACCTCAACTTTCTTCCACCTCTCTTTGTGTGTGTTCCCTCCAGGAGCTCCCATTCAGATGTCAGAATAGGAACGGCACGCCAAACTGCACCTTTTTGGGCAATAAAACAGCAATTTCACTCAATTAATCTGGATTAGGACCCCAATACCTCCTACATAACTTGCCACAGAAAGGCATTCTTCATTCCAACGCCTTTTGTTGCTCCGGACCATCATTGTCCTTTGTAGCCTTTGTGTGCAGCCTGACCTGATCCAAAGGAGAGTTTTCCTTGTTAATTAGGCTCATAGAAAACTGCTGGCAAGACTGACCATTCAATCAGAGAAACTGCTTTCTAAACAAAACTCCTACACCCCAACAACAGATGCAAGCAGTACCATCTTTTCTATTTATCATCATCCTTTTTTTTTCACTGACATACCACGACAACAAAGGATATCAATAGAACCCGATTCGGTTACCTTTACTTGACAAAAAAGCAATAGAATGGTCATTAAACAATAAAGGTTGATCTTTTGAGGGGGCAGATTAAGATGGGGGTGTTGGGTGGATTAAGAGGGGGATGTTGGGCCTGATTAGGCAGGGCCTGCTAAGAGATTTGTAATAACCGTAAGAAGGATGGTTCTAAAAGAAGAGGAAGAGGCTTTGGTCGTTTTCTAAAGTCAAGATCAAAGAAGGTTACCGAGCTGATCTATTTCAAGTCTAGATAAGATGTGGCTGATGAAGTAGACCCAGAAGATGATAGGAAAACATATCTGATGTTAAGATTTGATAATGAGAGCTCATTTAATATCTAATTCTTCTTTGGAATCAGTTAAAAAAGTCAAGATCGCCATCATGTTTTGATTTACTTTCATTGTACTTTCAAGAATCATGCCCAAGTTTGCTGGATGACTATTTAAATTAAAAGTGGAAGCAGTACATACTTTGAGATATCCTTTCTTTTGAGTAAATTCATCAAAGATTTGGAATCAACTGCCATTATTTACTTTTATTGCTGGAAAAGGTTTATAATACAGTTAGGGGTAGTTTAAGGTTCTAATTTTTAATTTATTATATTTTTAACAAGTTAAAGTGTCAGAAGTACTGGTACACTACGGTAGTCAACATTTTTGTGAGCTGATGAGATACCTGTTGAAACGGGATGATCTTACAACAATATCATAAATACAGAAGTATTTGCTTAAACAAGATGTAAGCATGAACAAAATATTCTCCATGTTGCCGTGTTCATAAAATGTTATCAGAAAACAAGTTAAACCAAATTGAGGTAAGTCTCTCTTGTAAATAGAATGAAAAACAATCTACTTGCCTGAAACTTAAAAAAAAAAACATACAGAGAAATTTATGCTCTGTTCAGCAACATTCATTTTTACTTTTAAAATGTTGACAGTACCATTAAATGTTTTCAGCATATCATGATGCATTGCTAGTCAGCCTTTTAGTTATTCATATACTCCGAGAGGCATATATCAAAAGCTTTTAAAGTGTCATGACTCGATTGATTTGTATATTATTTGATTAAGAGCTATTTTGCTATAAACCTTGGCTTGGAAATTGTTTGATGAATTAGGGAGATTCCTGCCAAATCCAAAGCATTGATGCATCAATGACAAAGCAAGAATTTTCTTGTCTAATTTCATTGATTGATATCAATCGGGTTTGTTAAACTATTGCCCTTTATTCATGACAGAAATAATCAGAATCACTTTGAAATATAGACGCCTCTCTCGACTGTGGTTCATTCAGCCTAATGACACATTTGGCCTTCATCTTAAGTACGAATGATTCTAATAATTGAATCAATTCAATTTTGGAAATGATTTGACCTTCGTGTCTACATTTGGCCCCTTTGTCTTCTGAATTGGAGAGTTTGAAAAGAACACTTGATAGAATATCCCTTAACAAATAATTGACCAGTCTCGGACAGAGTATTAGAGGTTGGATCATGTAGAAATTTGCATTAGACCAGGGACAAATATCAGAAAATGTGTTATCAGAGACAACCGCGGAAGCCAATGTAAATTACGATGTATTAGGGAAACTGATTCTCGTGAATGTACATGTACACTAATCAAACTAACCTAACCCTAACCCCAACCTAAAACCTGACAGTAAATCTATACTTCTGATGAAATGAAGCCCATGCAGGACAACTGTTGCCTGGACCCTGAGTAAACCCAATAGTTTATTTTTGATGGAATAAATAAAGCCTGGAGCAAATGTTGGATCACTCCAGTATCCAGAGACATCGCCAACAGAACAATCTGAAAGAAGTGCAACTAACCCTCAAGGTAATCACCAGATGATTTCTCAGGGTCCCAAAATATCCTTGACACTGGAAGGCTTCCACCCTTAAGGGTATAATAGGACCATGGTACCACTCAAACTTTATCAATACCCCCATCGGTCATTCCGCTATTATCAGACAACAGCGATACCTTAATCGAAGCAGGGAAGTCTTTCATCAACTGCCTCACCTGAGTATTAATGCCAAGAAGAAGTGTATCAGGAAAATCTTAATGTAGTTTGCAACTATTTCAAAGTGGAAATGAGCTTGCTCCGAACCTGTTCGTGAGCTGCCTTCATCAGATAATATTAATTTACATCTGCAACTAAGTCAAAGCGGAAAGTACAGAGCGCTCAGAAACCATTAGCATCTCCCTCCATCAGATAACTGACTCAAATTTACCCTACCCAAAATGCTGATGCGAAAAGTGAAATATTTCTAGCATTTTCCACCACCAGCAGAGCTGATTTACAATATCACACTGAACCACAGTAAATTATAGCATTGAGAATTAACTGAAGTTGAGCATGAGATTTGCAGTCCTAGAGACAGTGACAGAGTTGGTGATGCAATATTTGCTTTGTAGTTCCTTCAACAAAGATGCAGGGTTACGATTATCAGGGTTAGGTTTAGGGTTAGGTTTAGGGTTAGGTTTAGGGTTAGGTTTAGAGTTAAGTTTAGGGTTAGGTCTAGGGTTAGGTTTAGGGTTAGGGTTAGGTTTAGGGTTAGGGTTAGGTGAAGGGTTACATCTAGGAATGCAGTTAGTGTACGAAATGCACTGTTGAGCAACCGTCACCAAAGCATGTAGGGTTACACAAACTGTGGTGAAACCCATATTATGACTACACTAGCTCCTACATGAGGAAGACAAACAACACCAAACCAAACATTTGTATCAAACTATTTTGTGTCTGGTTTTGTGGTCAAGCGAGATACATTCTTTGATTAATCATCTTTTCTCGTCTTTTGAAGAACTTTTTCAACTTCAGTTTTAGTCACCTGCCCCCAATCCGAACCCACCTGGCAGCAAACAAAGCCCCCAAAAAGTGCAAAGTTTGATGACAACGACATGAAACTATTTCCTCTCAAATCCTTTTATAGAGAATAGTGAAAAGGATCGAGTTGAACCCAAGTTGAAATTCCACCAGACGCTCATTAACTCACAATACCCCTGCTACAAATTAGTGAGGTTGTATGACTATTCACCCAACCACAACAGCTTACCATGTCTCTTTTGAGAAGAAAAAAAAGAGGAAACTGTTTTCTTTTTAGCTGGATTCAGTCAATACAAGACCACAACAAACCATAAGCATTCCGCTGTGAATGTGCGGCTCATGGAATCAACTTAAAAGGCCTCCTCCATTCAAAAGCGAGAGCTTCTGCGGGGATTAAAAATAAGCACCCTGGCGAGTTGCCTGCCTTTCCAATATGGGAAAATTAATTTTCATAGACCAGTGGTTGAGTGAAAGGCGCATGGAGGAGATCATTACACTGGGTCTGTTCACCGGCCTCTCCCGACCCGTGTTGAAATGGAGAGATTTGATCCCCGACAACAACAAAAGCTCAGCTTCGGGACCTTTCAGAATTGTCACAAAAGGCAGGGTATTGCGTACCAGCGGAAAGGCCCTTGTGGTTTTTCTTTCACAATCTTTCTTCTCGTTTTGCATGGAGTATATATTTCTGGTGCCTGAGCAAGTTGTACTCAAATATAGGCCCATTCACATTGTAGTAAAACATGTTTCTTGAACTATCGTTGTAACCATTTACACTACTGCAAAAACGCTGAAAAAACTCTTGGAGTTGGATAATTATTTTTTTATTTTGCGAGAGTGAATTGTGCACATGGGCCACTTGTCGCTGCTCTGTATGTAGAGCACAGAAACGAGGACAGTCACGTGACCAAATGCCGGAATATTTCACTGGTGTTTTAAGAGTGAGCATTTACAATGAAAAATAAAAGTGGAGTTTCAGGTGCAGAGTTAACACACAAAAATAAAAACAATCGAGAGGTGGCTTTTTTGATTAAGGGTTTTTCCAGTCATGTTTATGACCTCCGGAATGAGAAAAAAAATGATGGTTGTTGCTTGCAGTGTAAATGTCCCTATTGAGCATATTACAGGGACCTGTTTCACAAAGCCTTTTTTCAATGACAAGTGACAAATCTGCTGATAACCAATCAGAAGCAAGGATTTCAGTAGCTTATAACAAAAACTGTCATTTGTCACTGATGACAAGTTTAGTGAAACGCCCACCTGGTGCATGTAGGGAAAAAACCAGAGGATTAGAAAGGGACTTTGGCTTGTATTTTCATCTCATCTTTTGTGAAGAAAATTCCCCAAAGTTCATGGCTTTGCTCCCATAGGTTTATCGTCCGACCCTGTCTAAGTTGCATCATAAACCCCTCAGGGTTCAAATATGTTTTGCATATTTACCATGTAAAGCTCCAAACAGCAATAACGGTATATGGGACCAAAAGTTCAAATACTCTTGGATGGCATTCATTTGTTTTGTTCCAGTTTTGGCTAAGTGTTTCTCACTCAAAAAAAAAATGTTCCTTTAGAACTACAATTATAGATCAAATGTGTCAAACAGAGACAAGTTGTTGTCTCCCTTTAAATCTACAAGCATTTACATTATAGATATATTTTTTAATAAATGTAATGCTTTAGATATAATCTTGATATATGATTATAGATCATATATACCTAACCTCAACCCAGCCTTAACCCTAACCCTTAGCTTGAACCCGAACTTGAACCCTAACCCTAAATCTAACCAGATATTCACCTTTTATTTTTGATGGAATAAAGAGCAATTTTCAGAGCAAATATCAGCTCACCCAATTTCAAAAGTACCAAGCATTTTACTTACACTCCTTGCGTTTCGCCGGTCCAGCAGTCTCTGTTGCTGTCGGAGGCCATATTTCCCTGGGAGCACATGAGGAGGGGAAGGTCCCGGAAGACACTCTTGGAACTGTCCAGGCTTCCTACAAACTGCAGTAAGAGCTCGTCCAGAGGGATGGCGGGGTTGGGAGCGATGGGGATGTTTCCTGCAGGGTTGTTCATGGCAAAGTCGTTGTACGGGGAGGGTCTTGAGAGGGGTGGAGGCCCGCAAGTGATCATCGCCTATGAGAATAGGATGGGAGTTACAGATAGGTTTGGAGAATCTTCAACAATATGGCTAATATTCAAATGAAAATGAAATGCTAGTACTGGGCAGTCTTTCAGGTAGAATGTAAGTAGGCCTTGATGAAATTAAAAGAACTACAAAAATGACTATAGGTCTCTATGTTCATTTTCATATACTGTATCACTTTCTTTCCTTCAAATAGCAGCCCTCTTAGTCTAGTACAAAAAGATAAACATATTTGCCAATAAATTGAGACTAATTAGGCTTCCACTGTTTCAAATATGAAGCATGCATGTAGTCTGTGGGATAATGGATATACCACAAGCCCTGCTATCATAAACAAAACCATTTTGAACTTACCGCTTGCATAATGGAATCTTTGTCCTCTATGGCCCTTGTGATGGCTGCCATTACCTTCTGATCCAGAGTGTACATGGCCGAATGGAGGTCGTACTCAGCGGTCATACTAACACGGACCAGGTCAACGACCACCGCAACGTATTCTCTCCAGTACAGATCCAGATCCATGAAGTTAGCCAAGCAACCTTTCATGACATTGAAGCAGAAGCCCTGACAGGCTGGCACACCGACCAAAGACTGGCACTGTCCGCAGTACCTCATCTGCATCAGGGCGCGGGTGCAGCGTCGGGTCAGGGGCATGTTCTCCGTCGAGTTCAGCACCTCCAGACCCAGGTTGACCGTCCCAAGGAACATCCTCGCCACCTTCAGAGACTTCTCCAGGATCCTGGCCAGGTCCCGGTGCGCAAAACCAAACGGCATGATCACCGATGCCTGGTTCGAGAGGCAGTCGCGATACCGCGAGTCCAACCGCGTCACTTTGCTGTTTATATGACTGGTATAGATGTGCGGGAAGAGCGTGTCAAAGAACCTTGATACGGCATGCTCAACGTTTACATCCATGCCATGGAGGTAGTCCATCAAAGAACCAAATAAATCCTCTATAGGGCTGTTCATGTTGATGGCAATACTAGTATACAATGTCCTAAAATGCTGTTGAATCCTCTCTTTTCCATACTGCAAAAGATCCTCAAATTCAGCTGAAAGATAAGAAAATAGAAATAAAGACTTAATATTACTATTTAGAATGAAACAGATTTACAATTTTATAAAACGTTAAATTAGAAGAACCAAAATCAATTAAATCAATTAGGGCCTACACAAGTTTACAAGGGGGGGGTATATTTTTTCTCTGAAAGAAGACAATTCTACCATGAGGTTTCATGCCTACTATTAAATTACAAAGTGAATTTGATTATTTTAATTTAAAATTAAATCTGATAGGATGATATAATGATTTAGTCTTTATGATCTGAAACTGCTTATAAATAGTCATATCCAACAACAAAATCTGAATTTTAGAATTACTGGTAGAGCAAATATTTCTTCAAATCAAGTGGAAAATGGCACATAACAACCACTGTTACAGAAAGTAAAAATTCTTTTGATCCTTCAAAGAGCGCACATAAAATGCACCTTCCCTGCAGGCACAGCCAGTCCCTTTTTTATGGAGTTCTGGATGCACAAAAACCTATACTTTTTTTTCCTCAGAGAAGCCATGATTTAAGGGGTTGTTGGTGGAGAAGGGACAGGGCAGGATGGTTTCCTCTGGTATAAGGTGTCCATGAAATGACCCAAGAGGGTGATTGGGATGCTACTGTGGGGTTGGAGAGTAGGAGGAACAACTTGAGAAGGCATATTTCTGTCCACTCATCATAAATATGTCAGCGAATAATCACTCTAGCCACCAAACACACTAACATGTTTTGTTCTCCTCCATGCAGGGGTTTACAAATATTTTCTGAAACTTGTGAACAGCTAGCTCTTGTGTGTTTTGGCAGAGGTTTGGGGCTAGGTTTGGCAGAAGGATAGGGTCAGCTGAGTGGGAAATTTGGATCTCAAGCAAATATTGATCTACAGGCCTTTATGGATGACATGTTAAACAATCAGTCAGAACTTAGAGTAGAACAATTATTGTGATGTTGATATTTTCATTTGTAATTTTCATAATGACAAAGAGGTGTGTAGTATTGATGTATTCTAAAATTATCACCAACTCTCAATGTTTTATTCATAATTTTGAGTAAATTTGAAATATAAAGGTGAATATTAAAATTGCCCATTCTTTTCATTCACTACTCAAAGCAAACTGGACAATCATGATACTAGATAAACAATATCTTTCATTCCAATGATATTTATAAGAAGTTTTTGTAATCAATTGAATAGAAGAATTGTAAGACCTTCCTGTTCATATTTTAGAAAGTATGATAAACATTCAATGTCAAATAACTTTAATCTTTACACTTTTACAACCTAAGCCTTCATAAAATCTTAGGGCACAGGAATCTGGATAATATTCTACACCAATCGACACCACTGACTAATCAGTCCCCACTCCTACTTGTAGACAAAAAATACTATCATCAGTCATGAAAATACAAGAAATGTGAAATAGAACCACAATAGTTTCTAAACCAAAAGTATCATAACAAAAAAAAATGGTTCTGACAAGGCTCAGTTTTCTGCGAGACAAGGAACAATTTCCCTGCCTGCCATAGGCGTGCGTGCGTGGGGAGCAGAAACAAAGTCCAAGATCAGGGATCATAGCAGTGTGCCATAGCCTGTGAGTCTGGCTGCCCTGAGCGGTAAACGACACCAAAATGTTTCTGAATCAGTAGTGAGCTATGCCAGCTCGTTAAAAGAATGCAAAGGAACTGTTCACACTGTGGGACTTAAGCTGTTGTGATGGATGTTCGCCCCTGTGGCGATTGCTCCGGGCATTATTTTATCAAAAAAGTATATTGATAGGTAAGAGTTGTCGTTGTGGTTTAGGTTGGGTTTTAGATTGGGTTTTAGGTTGGGTTTTAGTTTGGGTTTAGGTTTAGGCTTAGGGTTAGGTATGATGTTGTGTCCAGGGTTGAAGTTGGGACTTCTGTTAGAGTAGGAATATACATGTGGAGAGTCATCCCCTTCCCCTGACTGTGTATGAATCCATCAGGATAATTGACTACATTGTAAATGTTATATAGTTACTCTTATCAAATTCGGTAGTTGGGGCAACCCAAAGCTTATTTATTATTTTTGACACTTTTGACAATGCTCAGGTATGTGCTTTTTTTTTTTTTGACACCAGACTTCAAACAAAGTTAATATACATGTCAAGGCTAACATGATATACATTCATGCTTGTCTATCAAAAACTATATTGTTCACAATGTGTAATCAATATCTCTACTCTTTTAATAACAATTAAATTCAGTTGTGGTTAGACTAACTTTTAATATCTACATGAACTCAAATGAAATATACACCCATATTTTTGTGTTTTCTCCCCATGTTATAAAATTCTTCATGCATTTTCCACCCATCAATCATCTTCAGTTATTTCATATCATAAATGAAGTTGGTTTCTGATTCCAGTATCATTAATTACCCCCAAAGGCTAACGCTGCCAACATCAAACTGATATGGACTGATGTATTTAACAAGTCATCAAACTCTGAATAGCATAATAGAACTACACCTTGACCTAAACTCTGTATTACACCTGTTTAGGGTGTTTAGCGTTACAGACTGCCTAGAAATTTGATTGACTAACAAAAGATAAATAACCATGTTCATATTACCGAAAAAAGAGATGGAGGTGAGTAATTGATATCACCTCCTTGAGATTGATGCATTATAAAAGATATTGACTCTGAAAAAAGGCTGATACCTTGACCAAAACTCTGCATTACTACGTTTGTTTAAGGTGTAGCTTTTTTATAAACTACCTCAACGTTTTAATTTACTTTGAATAGATTAAAAACCATGTTCACACATTGCCAAGAGTAGGGTGTGTGCTATTGATACCTTGAGGAGGCTTGAGGAGGCACGATGGCTCAGTGGTAGAGCAGTGGTCTCCTAACTGAGAGGTCCTGGGTTCAAAACCAGGTTGACGGGCTAGTGCCCTTTGATAAGGCATTAATCCTCATTACAGGGTTCCTTAAAGAGGACTTAAAGCCGTTGGTGCCCTGGATGCTTACTCAAAAGCATACTTTCTTCAAGTGAAATAACAACACAAACACCTTCCAGTATGAACACGACCTCATCTCAGGTCGAGAGCGTTTGGAGTCAGTCTAAACCCTAAGGCTATCCAGCCTAAAAACAATCAAACCAGCGCTCAGGGGTCGTGACCCCATACCAAGTTTTCGCCAGAGAAAACACAAGAACAGGGGCTGAGTCACTGACATTGAGCTAATGGCAGGATCGTTCATCTTGCCTAAGATGGAATTTAAATTGATTCCCATATTTATCCTGAAAATGACACAGAAAACATCTCCATAAAGTGGATTTAGTTTTCTGCTTTTGTCCTCGTTTAATCTTTTTGATCTTCGAAGACTGAGGTTTGCAAATTCTTTTTGTCTTGCGCAAACTTCATGATTCAGCAGTATGATGATTCATGCATGGATACTGTAGTTGCTTCTAACATCTACCGATAATGTAAAAGTATCATTCTAGTTTACTTTCGATATCATATAATGACCTGAATACAAATCCCTGCAATTCTTTATTAATCCCTATTTCTTTGATTTTGCATCTCAATGCTCCCTCACTCAGCACGCTATCTTTATCCCATTTTCTCTCATCCCCTTTCTCTCTTTTCTTCTCATCTTTGCTCTTTCTCTCACTCTTATGTGCTTTCAAATTCTTCCAATCCAATCAAATCAAAACGATTCATTGATGCAAAATAATTGTTTATGATGAACAAATGAACCACAATATATATTTTACAAATAATTGATACACACCCCTTATTCTGGCATTCTCTCTTCTTATTTTTCCATTTTTCTTTTTCATTTCTATTCCTCCATCCTCTTTTCTCTCACCCTCTCTCTCTCTCTCTCTCTCTCTCTCTCTCTAACTCTAACACACTGTCTCTCCATCTCTTTCAATCTCTCTCTCCCTCTCTCTCATCCAATACATGCACCATTCTCTCCCCTTTCATATATAAATAACCCCCTCCCTCTCCTATTCTCTCCACTTTTCTATAGCTTCGCAGATCAGTGATACATAACTAATAAACTCCCGTTCATGAAAATGACCTATCCCGGGCAGCGGCAACAATAAGGCCCGGTATCCATATCGCCCCTGCTGAGAAACAAAAATAAATTTCAACAACTCGAGCGACAAAAGGAGACCCATTCCAAGCACGAGTTTCCTTTCACAAGAGTGTGACCGAGACATTCCTTTTGGTGCCCAACTTGTGAATTTTGGCATGTTGGCGACATGCACTTGTTAGAATCTGCAAGTAAAGGGCCAAATACTGGTTTCTATTCACTGAAAATTTTAATTTAAAAAAAAAATGCTTTTATGGAATAGAAAGGGTAAAAAACGGAAGAGGCTTGCTTGGAAAATTAGAAAAGAGAAAATATGAAAGATAGCTAAGCGCATGTCTGAGTCCCAACACCAAAATGTATGAGTTTACGGTATATATTTGCTTGACATTTGATCACTTTCTGACTTTGAATTTAAAAAATGCTTCAAATATTATGATATGTAAGAAATATACAATTCTAATGCCCCAGGCTTTCTTGACGGTGCTATAGATCAACAGAAGTGTTGATATTTGAATATCAATATCTGAAACTTCTCCACATCATGTATCATCTACTAGTGTAAATGTGAGCATCGCAAACATTCTTCTTTATGATCTCGAGCAGAATTGTGCAGAAAAAAAAAATCATGCAAACATTTTCTTTTGCTTCACATATGCAATTGAATGCATGCCTTTGTAGTTGTATGATTATTGTGGTTTTAGTGACTAAGTATGGTTTAAATATGAATAGCTAAAAAGTCAGCACAAGGTCCAAAAAAAGAGGAAGTTTTATGACAGATTGTTCTTTATTCAACTTCTATCCATGCTTGAATAACCCCACCTGGACTGGAAAACCACAAGTGTGGTATCATTTCTATGTAATTTCTTCTTCTCTCCTTCCTCTATTTTCCTTCTATCTATCTATTATTTTCTCCTTTTCAATCCTCTGCTCTCTGAATA